AAAAAAAAAAAAAAAAACACTAAATTAAAATTAACCTCCGAAAATAAGTTTTGGTCTAAGTTACATTTTCAATTAAAATTATTTTATAACAAGAAAAAAAATTTATATTTGGCCTTCTTGTGAAAGTTTTATGTAACCATGCTGACAGCTACTATATAATAACAAAATCTCAAAAAATAGTTTCCCCAAATTAAGAAATTTTTTTTTTATTGTTCATGATTAATTAAGGGTAAGGGGTATTTTAGTCAGTAGCAGATCCATAGGAACAGTCACTCAACTCCAATGCAATATTGCATTATTTAACTGTAGTAATACATTTACATTTTACAATATTACATTTACATTTTGCAATATTTGAATGGTTTAATGTTATATTATAAGTGATAAGTAACTCTTTTATTTAAATAACTTTATGCTATATTACAGGTTGAAAAAAAAAAGAAAAGATGGTTTTTTTCAAAAATTTAAATATAACCTCTTATCCAAAATATAATAGAAAAAAATTGAAATACTTTATAGGGTGTGAATAAGCTTTAAGCTTAATATTTAAAAATTAAATAACTGAAAAATAAAAGTGATGAAAGAAGAGAACTAAGATTAAAAATTTTAATTAACTGTTATATTACTAATATGAGCAAAAAAAAACTACTAAGATGGGATGAGTTTTATTTATTTATTTATAAACATTATATAAGAATAGAAGTGAAGTCTAGTATCAAAAAAATCATAAGATACAATCTTTTATTATTACATTAACACTGTTATGATCACGGTTATCATATAACTGTAGTCTTGATATATATTCACACATGGCTGCATAAAAACAAAATTCACCATACCTTTCTTTAATGTCAGACTACAATACACTTTCATAAATTCATATCTATCCAAAATTAGTTAATGCTTACAATACAGTTACTATTTCAGAAAAACAACCACTTGCTGACAATAACTGTTTGCCAATAACTTCAAATTTTAATTAATTTATATTTATATAATGTAGACAATCTATTATCTAGCATATACTATTAAATAATTTTTTAAAAAATTTAGAAAAGAAGGTAACAATTTAAAAAAACCCAGCACAGGGGGGTCGCGGCACAGTGGTGACGTGGCATAGTTGGATCAAGTATAATGATATCTGACAGTGATTAAAATCACTATCAAAAAAAAACGCTTCGATGCAAATCTTTAGATAGTGTTTAATTTTAAAAAATTGGTGGATTATTCCAAAAGCTTCATAAACTGCTAGTTCCTTATTAATATCCTGATTAAGACAAAGTATGTCGAATAAAAAAGAGATTATTAGAAAATAGTATTTCCCATAAAAAAATTATATTGATCAATACACTTTTCAATAAGTTATAGCATTATAATGTTAAAAATGTAAAAAATAAAATTGAGAATTTTCACACAATAATAGCATTTGGTAGCCATTTTCACCTTGAAGATAAAATAAAGTCCGAAATTTTTTTTTTCCATGATAAAGTATATTACATTAGCTTTAATTTAAGATATATATAAAAGTGTCAGACTTTCCGGAACACTTTCAAAATTTAAGTTGAAAAAGTCAATTTTTTGTGAAAAAGTTGTCATTTTGAATCCCCCCCTGTAGGCAGGTAAAAAGTCAGATTTATAAAAAAAATATACCAAATGATAGGTAAAGACATCATGCATCTACAAAAAAAAGAATTATATTGATCCATACATCTTTCGAGAAGTTATAGCATTATAAAGTTAAAAATATAAAAAAGAATTTTTTTACAAAAATCGTATTTTTTTTATTAAGTTTAATGTCTGTTTTCACCATGAAGATAAAATAAAGTCCGAAATTTTTTTTTACCATTATAAAGTATATTACATTAGCTTTAATTTAAGATATATATAAAAGTGTCAGACCTTCCGGAACACTTTCAAAAGTTACGTTGAAAAAGTTCTACTTTCTATATGCATTTTTATGTTTTGAATCCCCCCTGTATTTAGGGAAATGGTCCGATTTAAAAAAACAGTATGTCGAATGAAAGATCTATATAAATACTACTTCTCATAAAAAAATTGTAATGATTCATACATTTTTCAAAAAGTTATAGCATAATAAAGTTAAAAATGGAAAATACAAAATCGAAAATTTTCACACAAAAATAGCATTCGGTAGCCATTTTCACCATGAAGATAAGATAAAAAGATAAGATAAGATAAAAAATTGAAAAAATTTCGAAAATTAGCGATTTTTAAATTCGTAATTTTTTTGGAGGTTTCCCCCATTTACGGGGAACGAGGGAATTTTTTTCAATTTTTAAGGGTAATGTCTTCGACTAGATACGATTTGTGATCTTTTGACGTATCATTGAAAGAAATCGGTTCGGTGAGAGCTGAGAAAATGTGGTAACAGACACACAAAAAAAAAAAAAAAAACACATCTTAGTAAAACCAATACCTTCTCAGCTTCGCATCGAAGCTAAAACAACCAGACTAGAAATTTTGAAACCCTTGTCCAATAATGCAATAATCTTACATGATCACTAATAGCAATATATATTAAAATAATATGATACAATTATGAAGAATTGTTGTTTACATCACTAAAAAATAACTAATTTTAACAAAACAGCCAAAATAAAACTCAATTTTTGAGATATTTTTGATTAAGACTCATTAACTATAAGTTTTTGAAACTTTTAAACCACTTGTTGCCTCTTAAATTCTTTAAACATTCTTGATCAGTGTAAAAAAACTCAAATTATTGAAAAAAAAGGGTTACTAATTAGCACCTTTTTCTCAAAACATTTTATGTTAGTTCATTTATGCCTTAAGAATTTCAATTTAACAAATTTGTCTTAAGAATTAAATAATTACTCTTCAATTATTTTATGATGAACTTATTTTTTAAAATGAATTTGTAGTAAAACAAAACATTTAAAATAACATAATGGTAACAAATATTACTATCAAATCTATAATAAAAACTTAAATTGTGAAAGTATGAATTAATATGGCAAGTTACTAATACCATTACTATTACATTAATACTTTTACTCACCTGATCTGGAAACTTTTTCAATATCATTTCCTTCAACAATCAATTCATCTTTTTGTTTTGAATTAGTGACTGTTACACCTGGCGACATCTTAACACGTCTAATATATTTTTCACCCAAGAAATTTCTTATTTCGATAAGAGAATTATTTTCAGATGTAACACAATTGATAGGAAAATGGGCATATACAGCTCTCATTTTATAGAGGAAACCCTTAAAAAGTATAAATTAGATATGAGTGACATTAGCTTAATTGAAAATTCTAAAATATTCATACTTTAGTAACACCCTTGATCATATTTTCAACATGTGTGCAAATGGTTCTAACAGCAGCCAATTCTTTTTTTGTTCCAAACCATTTTTCTACAGTCAAAAGCTTTGGATTTTTAAGATATATATCTACTGCCAAATGTTTAAAATTTCTTTCTAATGTTCCTCGAGGTCCTTTAACTGTAATAATTCTTCTATTAACTGTTACATCAATACCGTCAGGAATTTTAACAGACTGATTGGCGTTGATAGTTCTCATCTGAAAATAGTCAAAATTTTAATACTCCAATAATATATTGAGAATTTTATGAACTTATTATAACATACATTGATAAGCCCATATGAAATTTTTTGTATTTTTCAATGAAATTTATGAACACTAACTGCTAATTATAATTAGATATAATCTTTTAATAATTTACCTCACTAAAAAGTAAAAATTTTACACAAAATCAATGAAACCTTTAATGATTAGAATGAAAAATGTATCATTGTATCACCTATCATTTTCAATATCAGTTAAAATAAAAGGAGTCATATATCGTTAAAAAATAAATTATTAATTTAAAAATGGGAACATAAGTCAATTTAAACGAATAATATAAAATTCATTCTGTACAATAACATAACTCAACTACAAATAATAGTGTTCAAGATGATTTTGTGAGCAAATTAAACTTCACATAACAAAACTATAATATTATAGTTAAATATTGAAGCTACATAACTAAGGAATCATTTTTAACCATTATTTTACTAATTAATTAATTAAAAATTAAGATTACCTTGGATGAAAATCCGAATACACTGAAAAATTTGAACTAGAACTTAAAGAGAAAAATTTGTTGTTTTGGTACACACTACAATATTGATATTTGAAGGTTAGAAATAAAAATCATGAATACGTGGTAAGCAAAATATTTTAATATAATTAACCATGGTCGTTGAGGTTATCTTATCACTTTGTTCTAAACTATAGATAAAATAAGAGGTAACATTTGGTTTACATTTTTATTATTAACTGATTAGATAACAACTATCCAAACAACGCCGAATTATTCTTTGAATTGAAATTCCTGAGTTATAAATATTGCTAAAACAGTTTAAATATTTTAAAATAAAAACAGTTCTTTCAAACTACGTACTCATTGTAAGTAATACTAGTTCAGATATTTCCATATAAACATTTTTTTACTATATTACTCTATAATTAATATGTCCGACTTGAGTTCATATCGAGATCAACACTTCAAAGGATCTCGAGCAGAACTGGATCGATTATTAAGAACATCTACCACAATGTATGTAGGGAATTTAGCATTTTATACAACAGAAGGTCAAATCTATGAACTGTTTTCAAAATGTGGCGATATTAAGCGTATTGTAATGGGCTTGGATAAGTTTAAAAAAACACCTTGTGGTTTCTGTTTTATTGAATATTATACAAGAGAAGATGCAGAAAATTGTATGCGATATGTAAATGGTACTAGATTAGATGACCGCATCATAAGAACTGATTGGGATGCTGGATTCGTAGAAGGCAGACAATATGGCCGTGGAAAAACAGGAGGGCAAGTTAGGGATGAATATCGTACAGACTATGATATCGGACGTGGAGGATATGGAAAAAATGCTCAACCTAAAGCTGATATGATAATATTTGGAAGAAATAAAGATGCTCTTCCAATGGAATAATTTAATACAATAAAATTTAATTAATATTGTATTTATTTTTTATTTATGTATATTGACAAAAGTTTCTTTGTAACTTATTGGTGTAAATAAACAAATATTTTATATGTTGTAGAGTTGTTATTGAATTCAACCTCAAAAAGACATAAAATAATGTGTTATTTCATTGGAATATGATATTTTTTCTTTCAAATGAATAATAATCAATCTGATAATTTGAATTGCTGTGAATACATTAATATGAATGATGAGAAGTCCACTATAATATCAGATATTTGTAACTGTCCACCATGTGGAAATTGCTGGTGACGTAAATATTTTAAATTAAACATATTTTTTCTATTTACTAACTTACAAATAAAATAGCAGGACTATAGAAAATATATTTAAAAAATATTTGAAAGAAATCAGTCAATAATTTATTTAAAATAAAAAAACCTTTTAATAGACAGCATGGGTATAAATGTTTATTTAATTTTTTTAGCTCTTATGATATAAATATTGTTAATTGATTCATGTTTTGTGAGAGACAAGTGCTTTTTTCTTGATCAAGTATAAATTACAAGGACTTTTTATGTGTGTATACATAAATGTTATCTATAATTTAGATTATTATGTATAACAAATACAGTTAATTTCATAAAATAAAGTACTTAAAAACATCTATTCAACATATATGAGATATGTTTATAACTTAATAATTTAACTTTAATACAATGAGAACATAATACAAATTCTACTTCAATATATTTATATAGTTAAATTTAGTTATTTCATTAATAAAATTTCAGATTTGAGAACTATACAAATAAAAATTTAATTTTTATATTAAAGACATATATAGCTGTGTTATGAGTAATGTATTAAATGTAAGGGAAATTTTAATAAAATTGATGTTTTTTTTGTAATTATTTGTGTTTTTCTACTTATTTAATTTGTCTCAAAAAGTTTCTGAGACCATTTTCAAAAAATTGTTTTATGGATATCAACAATTTTTCAGAAGAGCAAAATAATCTTAAAATTTTTCACACAAGTTATAAAACATTATTTTCTATTTAAATTATAAAGAATCACAAAAACCTATTTTAGTTACCTATCAGATTTTAATGTAATTTAAAAATATATATAAAGGCTGATTTTTTATCATAACCCGCTTAATTACTCACTGATTAAAAATGATTAATTTTTTTTTTTTTGTGACATTATATTACATATTATTCATGAATTATTAGCTCTGTAAAACTTTTTAAGTTCTTCCCTTATGCCTTGTAAAGGTATCAACTTTGTTATTTCAAATGAAAACACATTTTGAATGTAATGAAATATTTGAGGTTTTATTATAATAGTAAATGACATTTGAATTTTTAACATAAGTTTATTTGTTTATTATATATAAAACTTAAAAGTTCTACATTTTTTGAGTTAATATACATGTATAATATATGAAGAATTACAAGTACAGGGAGCTAATTGGTTTTTTATGACATTGCTATCACAGATATAGAGCGTTTATTGTCAATTATGACTATCAATAGAAATACTTTCTGTATTGCTAATTTATATATTTATAATGTTAACTCACAGAAATGTGCTTTATGACCATACTCTTAGCATAACTATTGATAAAGTCATAATTGACAATAAATGCTGCAACAAAGTAGTATTCTATGGTTTATAAAATTAAAATTAAATGACAGAGCTAATTTCATTGTAATAATTTTTATTTAAATAAAATCATTGTTTAACTTATTCTTGTAATATTACAATTTAATAGTATATCTAATATTTTTTAAAAATTTCAGTTTATTAAGTTGCCCACCATCTAGAAGCATTGATATCAATACAATGATAGCTAACATTCAAGATCATTTACGCGTACCATGGCGTGGTGGAGCGAGACGTATTTCTTTGGATGCTGCTATTCCTTTAATATTTTTTCCACTAACTTTATACATAGCTGCTCTAGGATTTTGGCAAACAGTTATTCTTTTTCCTTTAGTTACCTTAATCTTATACTTTGTTCATATTTCAATTAAAAAATATAAATGTCCTACGAAGTTTTTTTATGTTTGGACTTTAGTATCGGCATTTTTAGTGTTTATAATATTTCAACTATTGGTTGTACCAATGTTAGATATTAATACTAATGAAAATATTATTATATTAGTTATAATGGCAGCAACTGCTTGGTGTTTTTATACTTCAAAAAAATATGCCATAAATTCTCACATAAAGCAAGACTTTGAAATGACAACTTCTCATGATACAAGCGAAAATGCCATTTTATTAAATGAGACAAATGATACTTCTTGTGAAATTTGTAGACAAATTGTACCTTCTAGGACATATCACTGTTTTATATGTAAAACTTGTATAAGATATCAACATGTACATTCTTATTGGCAAGTCATTAATAATTTATAAAATTTTAAAAATATATATTTATATAAATTTTTAAATTATTTAAATAAATTCGCTTTTTTCAGGATTGACTGTTGTATTGGTAAATATAATAGGAAACCATATATTGCAGGACTAATTTTAGGTACTATCATGCTAGCATTTTTATCCAACCTCATTCTTACAACATTATGTCACCCTTTTAATGTTTTTGCAACGATTATGTTACCGGATGATTGTAGTGATGTATATTTTGATATTATGTAAGATTGCGGTTGTATAATAATAATACTCGGTTAAAAGTAAAATAAAATAGTGATTTATTTTCAGGTATGGTATATGCTTTGTAACTGGATTGTATTGTTCTGCAGTTGCTGGTATTTTATTTTGTATGATTATTTATGAGATATTTATTATATCAATGGGAATTACCAATTATGAATATCAGGCATGTATTAAAAGAACTAATAATCAGTTCTTTTGGTCCAGACATATTTTAAGTAACTTATTGTCAAATTGGAAAGATTTTTTTAGTAATTTTTGATTTTTTTATCTTCAATACACCATTGTTACAAATTTTGCAATATTGAGTTAAATAATATTATGTTAAACTCATAAAGTTTTTATGAAATCAATTATGTAACTAAAACAATTGTACTACTAAATAACATTAAAGTACTAAAAATAGCAAAAAACTATTGTAATTTCAGTATTAAAATTATTTTGTAAAATTTAAAAAAAGAAGGATTTATTTTTTATAATGAATAAAAGTTGAAAATCTTACTAAAAGGTAACTATTTCTAAAATGTATTAATTTTTTACATTCTTATTAATCAAAAAAACTATTTAAGAATCAATACTTCTTTCATAAGTATTATTATAACCAACTTTTCTATTAAAAAATTATAAGTATGTTTGACCAAAAACACAATACAGTTGGTCTCTGGTAAGCTTGGGAGAAGAATAGAGATCTAAACAATCATTTTTGTTATGTCTCAAATAATTGTGTGTTGATGAATAATAAATATAAATAAATGTGAAACTACTTGTAAAAGGAACAATGGTTTTGAATAAGGAAATTTAAAGAATGTGGCTGCATTAGGGGCCATACATTTCGGAGACCTTTCTGACTTTCCAAGATACTAATGTTTTTTTACATTTCAACTAAATAAAAATAGGTTTTACGAATTAGGATTTGTATACTAACACCATTGAAAAAGTAGTAAGATATTATTTTTTTAATTCTTAGCGTGCCACTGTGATAAGCACTCTTTATTATAATACTTTAAATAAAACCAATTAATAATATGAACTACTTTAATAGAACAAATAATTAAATTATGTTCTCTAACGAAATTATTTAATACAATTTTAAACTCGGCAATTTCATAATAATATATATATCTGAGTTTTTTTAATAAAACTTAGAGTTTTTACAATATTAATTTTACTGAAAAATTTATAATTTTAATTACATATTAATAAGAAATATACAATTTAGATTTTAAATTTCTGGTGCAATAAAATCTGGTAAAATTTCTTGAACCTTTTCGTGCCATTTTCGTAATCTACAACTTTTAAGTCTTTCCGTATGTACAATTTCTGGATATTTTCTCCAACTATCAAAATAGTATTTCAAAATAACTCTAAACAAAAGTAAGTAACTTCATTCACTAGACAATCTACACAGGTATTTAAAATTATTATTATAACTATAATTATATACATTTTATTAAGTTATCAAATGCATTATCAGCCAATATAAATGTTTATTAATTGACTTAAACACTTAGTAATGTATTGTTAGTTTAGTTTAGTTTTAATTGTCCTAGAGGTGTACAAGAACTGCATATACACTCAGGACTGTTGGTTCGTTATGCGCACCAATTAATAAATTATATTGATTCGGTTTCTTCACAAAAGTGCTTCTACCGAAGTGTTGTTGCCATTATTTGTACACCTAAAATTTAGGAATGTGTTATTTAAAAAGCTACAGTTTTGGCGATTAAAAAGTTTATACCCATTAAAATGAAAAATATTTCTTCGCTATACAATATGCCCGATCAGGTTTTGTCATACATACTCACTGAGACATATTATATTATAATTCACGGTACATAAAAATAATTTACACGGACAAAAATCATCGACACGTATTTCACTTAATTCCCACATTACCTTCTTTCCATTGAAAACGAAAATATTAAGTTTAACAGAAATAAATAAAAACATAAAATTATATAACAACTCACAATTTACAAAAATCTTACAGGGAGGCAAATGATTCTTCCTGACTTAGTTTATTTTGGTTATACTATTATTAGCCTTGTAGTTACATTGCTTTGATTGTGCTGGTTCATTGATTTAGATAGATAAATTTACCCTATTAAATGTAAACAAAAGCAAAAAATCATGTAGTGGTAACGAACTTTGAGAACAACAGGCTAAGTCATAGGAGACAAAAAATATTTTTTTTATAAATCTGACCCTTTACCTGCCCCTGTGGGCGGATTCAAAATGACAACTTTTTCATAAAAAATTAATTTTTTCAACTTAACTTTTGAAAGTGTTTGGAAAATACTGAAACTATTATATATATCGTAAATTAAAGCTAATATAATACTTTATTATAGAAAAAAAAATGTCGAACTCTGTTTTGTCTTCACAGTGAAAATGATTACCGTATGCTATATTTGTGTTAAAATTCTCGATTTTATATTTTACATTTTTAACATTATATTTCTATAACATTTTGAAAAATGTATATAACAATACAATTTTTTCAAGAGAATTACTATTTATACTATGTATATTTCTTTCATACGATATACTTTTTTTTTAAATAAACCCATTTCCCTTAATACAGTGGAGTTCAAAACTTAAAAATAAACATAGAATAGAGAACATTTTCAACTTAATTTTTAAAAGTGTTCCAGAAATACTGACACTTTTATATATATCTTAAATTAAAGATGTAATATACTTTAGTATGGAAAAAGAAAATTTCGTTGTTTACATGGTGAAAACGGACAACAAATAATTAAGAATACGATATTTGTAAAAAATTTCATTATTAAATTATTAAATATCGATCTTTAAAAAAAACCCAGCACAGTGGGGAAGTGACATAATTCGGACAAGTATAGATGATATCTGACAGTGATTAAAAATCACTATCATAAAAAACTACATAATCTGCTATTTCCTTATTAATATCCTGATTAAGACAAAGTATGTTGAATGAAAAAGGGATATAAATATTATTTCTCATAAAAAAACTGTGTTGGTCAATACAGTTTTCAATAAGTTATAGCATTATAAAGTTAAAAATGTAAAAAATAAAATCGAGAATTTTCACACAAATTTAGCATACGGTAATCATTTTCACCGTGAAGACAAAATAAATTCCGATTTTTTTTTTCATAATAAATTATATTGCATTATCTTTAATTTATAATATGTATAAAAGTGTCAGAGTATCCGGAACACTTTCAAAATTTAAGTTGAAAAAGTTATTATTTAAAATCTCCCCCTGTGGTCAGTTAAAGGGTCAAATTTATAAAAAAATATATCAAATATATAAAACTGCCATAACAACTTTCTTAAAAATGAACAAATCAATATAATTTTATTTTTTTATAGATGCTTGGTGTCTTTATCATTTAGTATATTTTTTTTATAAATCTGACCCTTTACCAGTCCATAGGGGATGATTCAAAATGACAACTTTTTCACAAAAAACCGTGGCTACCGTGTACTATTTTTGTGTGAAAATAAAATCCGATTTTATTTTTTACATTTTTAACTTTATAATGCTATAACTTTTTGAAAAGTGTATTGACCAACACAGTTTTTTTATGAGAAATAATATTTATATCCCTTTTTCATTCAACATACTTTGTCTTAATCAGGATATTAATAAGGAAATAGCAGATCATGTAGCTTTTAGAATAATCGACACATTTTTTAAAATTAAACACTATCTAAAGATTTGCATCAAAGCGTTTTTTTTTTTTTATGATTTTAATCACTGTCAGATATTGTTATACTTGTCCCAGCTATGCCATGTCATCACTGTTCCGCGACCCCCTTGGCTGGGATTTTTTTGTAGCACTAAAAAAAAATTATCTAAAAGATACTTTAAAAACAAAAAACTATTTAAACATTTCTATAATATTGAATCAAATTAAAACGGCTTTGATAATACTTGAATCGTATTACTACTTTTCAATTTTGAATACGATAGTTTATATTTTTTATCTGGTGAAAATTATGACTTATTTGCATTAATTCTGTGATCATTTTCCAAAAGCTCATAACAATTAAAATTTAATATATCAATTATATAAAGTTGTATAATTATATAGTTATATAATTTTTTTTTTTATTAAGCAAACAAAAATTAAAAATTTCAATGATGTTTTATTCAAATCAAAATGTAGTACAAAAAACCTACCTTCCCGTTAAAATAAAATCAAAACTTTTTAGGACACGAATCACAACATCTGTGTAATATCTTTTAAAAATTTAAAAAATTATTTCTATGACATATCAGTTCTTGAGTCACCTAACGGTGGTAATATATATATTTTATTTATTTGACAAATTTCTATAAATAAAACTTAATAATATTAAGCATTATGCTACGCTCTGTGTATATTATACAGAGAGTTATTGTTTAATTATAGTTCACACAATATCTTTAAAAAAATAAAATATTATTTTTTTCTTTTCAAAATGTATAATATATCCTAATTTTATAATTGAAAAACTTTATAATACTATAACTTATTGAAAAGTGTATGGATCAACACAATTTTTTATGAGAAATAATATTTACATCCCTTTTTCATTCGACATACTTTGTCTTAATCAGGATATTAATAAGGAAATAACAAATCATGTAGCTTTTATAATAATCCACCAATATTTTTAAAATTAAACACAATCTAAAGATTTGCATCAAAGCGTTTTTTATAATAGTAATTTTAATCACTGTCAGATATCATTTATACTTGTCCCAATTATGTCACATCCCCATTGTGCCGCGACCCCCCTGTGCTGGGTTTTTTATTAATATTGATGATTGTTGTTACCATGAAAACAAAATAAAATCCTAAATTTTTTTTTTCCATAATAAAGTATATTACATAAGCTTTAATTTAAGATATATATAAAAGTGTCAGACTTTCCCGAACCATTTCAAAAGTTAAGTTGAAAAAGTTTTACATTCTATATGATTTTTTAAGATTTGAACCACTTCCCGTATATATGGGAATGGTCCGATTCTAAAAAAAAGTATGTCAAATGAAAGAGTTTTATAAATACTACTTCTCAAGAAAAAATTGTATTGATCCATACATTTTTCAAAAAGTTAAAACATTTTAAAGTTGAAAAAATTTCGAAAATTAGAGTTTGAAAGAATACGTACATCTTCATATCAACCACCAATGGACAATGGTTTAGTCGAACGATTCCATCGATGTTATCAGAACTCAACCGATCACATAAAACGGCGATGAAATGTTAAGACTGAACACTGGACAAATGAACTTCCTCACTTATTATAGGCCTTAGATCAGTAATTAAAGAAGAAATTGCAACAGACCCTGTTTCTTTGCTAAAATATTAAATAAAAACACCAGCACAGGGGGGTCGCGGCGCAGTGGTGACGTGTTGGACATAGTTGGGTCAAGTATAATGATATCTGACAGTGATTAAAATTACTATTATAAAAAATGCTTCGATGTAAATTCGTAGATAGTGTTTAATTTTAAAGAATTGATAGATTATTCCAAAAGCTACATAATCTGCTATTTTCTTATTAATATCCTGATATAGATTAAGTACGTCGAATGAAAGAGGGATATAAATTTTTTTTTTCATAAAAAAATTAATACAATCCATACATTTTTCAAAAAGTTATAGCTTTTTAAAGTTGAAAAAATTTTAAAAATTAGCGATTTTTAAATTTGTAATTTTTTTGGAGATTTCCCCCATTTACGGGGAACGAGGGAAATTTTTTCAATTTTTGAGGGTAATGTTTTCGACTAGTTCGGTGAGAGCTGACAATAAGTAGTAACAGACTCAAAAAAATAAAATCAATAAATAAAAAATCACATCATAGTAAAATTAATACCCTCTCAGCTTCGTATCGAAGCTAATATCAATTTCATACTATATATATATAATATTTAATCGCTCTAATTATTATTTATATATTACACTTATAAATCATAAAATTTGTAATCAGGATATAAATAAGGAAATACGAGATCATGTTTTTAGCTTCGATGCGAAGCTGAGAAGGTATTAATTTTACTATGATGTGTTTTTTTTGGGGGGTAGAAATAGGGGAAACCTCCAAAAAAATTACAAATTTAAAAATCGCTAATTTTCGAATTTTTTTCAATATTTTTACTAAAAACTGCCGTAACTTTTTCAAAAATAAACATTACAATATAATTTTTTTTTTTATAGATGCTTGATGTCTTTACCTATCATTTGGTATATTTTTTTTATAAATTTAACCCTTTACCAGTCCACAGGGGAGGATTCAAAATGACAACTTTTTCAACTTAACTTTTGAAAGTGTTCCGGAAATACTAACACTTTTATATATATCTTAAATTAAATATAATGTAATATATTTTATTATAAAAAAAAAAAATATGACCTCTGGACTTGTCTTCGTGTTGAAAATGGCTACCAAATGCTATTTACGTATGAAAATTCTTGATTTTACATTTTTACCTTTATAATGCTATAACTTTTTGAAAAGTGTATGGATCAACACAATTTTTTTATGAGATACAATATTTTTTAATAATCCCTTTTTCATTCAGGATATTAATAAAGAAATAGCAGATCATGTAGCTTTTGGAATAATCCACCAATTTTTTAAAATTAAACACTATCTAAAGATTTGCATCGAAGCATTTTTTTTATAGTGATTTTAATCACTGTCAGATATCGTTATACTTGATCCAACTATGCCATGTCACCACTGTGCTGCGACCCCCCTGTGTTAGGTTTTTTAGGAATAATCCACTAATTTTTTAATATTAAACACTATCATCAGATGTGCATCAAAGCGTTTCTTATAATTGTAATTTTAATCACTGTCAGATATCATCTATATTTGTCCCAACTATGTCACATCCCAATTGTGATGCGACCCCCCATTGAAATTTTCTTTTGCTACCAAAAAAAAAAGCTAAAATTTACATATTGTCTTTAGAGAAATAGCCACAGAATTATTGAAATATGTCTTTAAATTTTATATACTTCACCAAACAGTTTTATGTTTATATTCTAAAAACTAATATTTCTATTTTAGAAAATTTTCTTAAAAATAAAAACAAATTAAATTTTTTAACGGTGCTTTATGCAAATTGATATTTTTATAGTTCAAAAAATAAACTTTTTGGTAAAATTGACTTATAATTTTATAGCACGTACAGATAATTAAAATTGTAGCACAATATAGACGTGGCATAGTTGGGACAAGTATAGATGATATCTGAAAATCACTATCATAAGAAATGCTTCGATGTAAATTCGTAGATAGTGTTTAATTTTAAGAAATTAGAGGATAATTACAAAAGCTACATCAACTCTTATTTCCTTAATTATATCCAGATTAGTAGTCTTTGATTAAAAAATATAATTTATGATTAAATTATGAATATATGAGTATAAATTTTTATATAAATATTAATTATAGTAATTAAATTTAGTATGAAATTGATATTCAACAATTTAATATTGTAATTTATACGGAGAATTTATAAAAAAAATAATGTAGTTGAATATTCCATTACTTTTAATGAATGTACAAATTTGAAGTGCTTAATGTAATACTATTCAATAAAAACTGTTTATTACTTATAAATAAATACACTGGACTACAAGGAACTTTCATTAGAATCAAAAATATACTTTTCTAAATCAACTTTAGGAAATTTATTTACAGTAAATTTAACAGAAAAGCTCAATACTTTTTTGTATTTTTATCATAATAGATTTATAATTATCATTTCTAAGTAACCTTTGGTATTTAAAAAGATTCTAATTGAAATATTCAAAACTAATTTTAATGATTTACTTTAACTAAAAGAACTAATTAAAAAGTTGTTAAATAAACTACTCAATTGAGCATATTTTAATATTTTATTATAATTGTAAAAATTCATTCTTAAATACAATTTAAACTAAAAATAATTTATTTTAGAAATAATTAATATAGCAACATGTTACCAAAAAATGTTGAATATTTTGACTATTATTTAATTTTGTAGTTGAATCCTACTATCATATAAAATCTAATTTGACAATAAATACTTAAAAAACATTAGATTTAAATTATTTTAATTTTCTATACAAGAATGCGGGCTAAGTAACTTTTTAATTAATAGAGTGGAATTTTTTTTTAATTTTTGAGAGTAATATTTTCAACTAGATACGAATTGTAATTATTTGACGTATTGTTAATAAAAATAGGTCAAATGAGAGCTGAGAAAATAAATAACAGCCACAAAAAAAAAACCCCATAGTAAAGAATTTTAATATGAATAAGAATTATTTTGTCACGATGGGAGATTACATAAATGGGTTTTTTGATATTCATTGAAGTTATTAAATCTAAGTGAGATAAAAATCAAATGAGTTGAACATTTTTTTCTAACTTAACAATAATTTTAAAAAAGTTCAAAAAACGCATTTCGACAGGATGGATCAAATCTCGTGCCCTGAGCGTGAACAATTAAATGTTACCGTCAATTTCAAAGTTATTTTTCTGGATTTAAAAAAATTAAAATAATTTTAACTTTTTATTCTAATAATATCTATATATCTATATCTATATATATATATATATATTTATAAAAATCAGTGTACTCCCCTGTAAAGTTTTACAAAATAAAATAAAACAAAAACCGAGAATTTCAACACATAAATAGCATATTATTGTATACGGTAGCCATTTTCACCATGAAAATAATGTCAAATTCGAAATTTTTCATTTTAGTGTATATTACATAAGCTTTAATTTAAGATATATATAAAAGTGTCAGTATTTCCGGGATATTTAAAAAGTTAAGTTGAAAGTGTTAATTTTTTGTGGAAAAGTTATCATTTAAAACCCCCCCTGTGAGCAGGTAAAGAGTCAGGTTTTTAAATGATAGGTAAATACCTAATGTATCTATAAAAATATTTTGTTTCTATTTATTAATTTTTCAAAATGTTTTGGCAATTTTAAGTAAAAAAAATTACGAAAATTAGCGATTTTTAAATTTGTAATTTTTGGGGGGATTTCTCCCATTTACGGTGAACGAAGGAAATTTTTTCAATTGAGGGTAATATCTTTAATAAGGTACAATTTGTGATCGTTTGACGTATTTTTCATCAAAATCGGTCCAATGAGAGCTGAGAATAAGTGGTAACTGACACAAAAAAATAAACACATAGTAAATTTAATACCTTCTCAACTTTGCATCGAAGCTAAAAATCTCAAAAACCTATATTTTGATTATTAATTTTTAGATATATTCTCATAGACATTAATCGTTTTTGTATGAAGGCCCCCATAAAAATACCCTAAAACTAAATTAAATTTTTGGGATGGTGATAAAATAATGTAGCAAAAAGTTTTCCATTAGAGGTCTATTATCCAAAATTATGAAATAGATTATGGAACACAAATAAATTTTTTGAAACTGCGTCTTCATTGGTTTATATTTTTTTCAATCATTACCTGTCATGGTGATTTTCTGCTATTAACATCTTTTCATTTAAATCCTTTTTGATTTTCTTTAGAAGTGCTAGCCATTGTTTAAACCAAAATTCAAGAATTTTAAAATTGTTCCAATCTTCAGCTACTTGTTTTTGTCTCCTGTTGTCTTCTATCAACTAAACGTATAATAAATATTTTTATATTCAAGGATGTGGCGACGTCAGATATTTTTGTAGAAATATGGGCCATAATTATTAAGAGAGGGTCATTAATAAAACCTTACCATAAAATTTGTATATATTTATGAATAAATAATTTTAGTATATGCCGATAAAGTTGGACTCGAATTAAGGTCCACTAATGATTAGTTATTATCAGGACCATCCCAAAACCAAAAATATTAAAAGTGCGAAAAAAATGTATTTTTTTCCAACTGAATAATTTTTTTAAATTTTTTAATCTTTTTTTTAAATTTTTTTTTTTATAATGGCATCATATGAAAATTGACAATTAAAACAATAAAATATTGCCGAATGGAATTGTGTATTGTCCTCTCATAACTGGCCACGATGTTTAATACTACATTTTGAAAATTTTCTAAGTGAAATAATTTTTATTATTCTTTTTTTAACACATAGTTTTGTAAACTAGTCAATTACCCATGCGTGGAGTTTAGGGATGGCTTAAAATTCAACAAAATTAAATACATTGGCCATACAATTAATTTTTTAATTTTACAATTTTTGTAATCCCTATAGAAAATTATTATTATGAATTTTATTTTTGAAAAAACAATTTCCTAATTGATAGATGTCATGTTTATTAAGTTCCTAAAATTAATACGACACTTTTGAGACGTAAGCTCATTGTCTATGATTGTCTATCGGTACGCCATTCAATATTACCTAACGCGTAATGACATCTTAGTTTCCCTAGTTACAATAACAAGAAAATATTTTAAATAAAATTAAAGATTTTAAATCATGATTAGGATTTGAACTTTATATTTTATTCGATGTTTTAACGAAAAATCTGAACGAAAAAATTCATTGAGCTTTATTGATAACAGTCCTTAAAACGTTAATTTGAAAAATTAATTGAAAGAATAATTTTCAATTTTTAAAGTTTAAAGCAGCAGTGAATTTTCAAAAAATTTCCGGAGAAGTTTTAAAAAATTTAATTTGGAAAAATAAAATTTTTTTTAAATTTTATACCTGCTCTTGAAATAAACAGTGAACAGTATTTATTTTTGTACCTACCATATAAAGTGCTGAAAAAATTTGTATTTTAAGTTTTTTCTTGTAGTGTTGATCAGCTATTTGAACCTTATCATCCAAACATTTGATACTATAAAGTCTCCAATTATTAAAATATGTGATTATTAACTTATGATTATAAAAATCTAAAGCATTTTGCATTTTCAGTCTAATAACACTTAAATTATTTTGAAAAGCGTAAAAACTTCTTCTAATTAACAATTTAGAGTAGAATTCATCAGCAATTTTAATTTTTTTGCGTAAAATATCTCTTTCCATTTGTTGTTTACTCTCTTCAATTTTTTTTAACTTCAGTTTTTCTCGAGCTTCAAATAGTTTTCTTCTTTTTAATTCCATTTGTTCTTTCAACGATTTCTCTTCTTGTTCTTGTTTTTTACGATATTTTTCTTGTTCTATAATTTTTTGTCGTTCTTTGATAGCTTCCCATTTAGCTTGACGTTGTATAGCTCTTATTTCCATTCGATTCAATATGTCAGTAGGAGTTGGTACCGCCAAACACAACTGTTTTTGGGAAGCATCTTTTAATTTTAATCCTTTTTCTGCTTTGTTCAAAATTTGATTTGACAATCTTTGATTTTCTAGCATTGCCTTTTCTGTTTCTAACTTAAATTGTTGAATTTTTAAGCGTTCAATTTCCTTTTGCTGTTTTTCTAGCAGTTTCTTTTGATTGTCAATTTTCGTTTGTTGTCTTTCATATATTGTTTTGATTTGTTTAGGTGCAACACAATAGGGCAGTTTTTTTTCTTTATTTTTCTTTGATTGTCTCTCATTTATTTTTTCTTGTATTTTTGTTAAAAATGAATCGATTTTACCATCGTATTTACTCCTACACTTTAAGGTTTTTTTTTTTTTCGAAGCAAAGTTTCTCCATTTATCCCAATATTTTTTTTGTAAATTAAATTGATATGAATTGATTGTATTTAGTAATTGTGTACAGTTCTTTTTTTCGTAAGTTATTTTATCAAAGTGGTCGTTATGATCACGCGTAATGTATTTATTTTGAATTTCAGAGCTAATTTGATTAATATAGTTTACTACTGTGATGTTATTATGTACTAAAATATTTATAGAGTAACCATTATCTTTGAATGTTTCAATTTCAGGGTAAACATTAAAATATTGATTCAAATGAGAATGAGATTTTTTTCCAAGATATACTAATGAATCATTCTTCAAAATTATTTTTGATCCAAGTTGTTTTGATCTACAAAAATTAATCATAAAATATCTTTTAATTAAGCTAAAAAATTACTGAAACATATTTCATACAAATTAAAAATAAATAATCACGAGTTAAAATTAAGGGTAGAAGTGTAAGTTTAACAAAAAAAAATGAACTTTTATAACATTAGACATTGCTTAAATTGCAAAAAATAAACGTAAAAGTTGAATTATTTGATAATTATAACTTGTTTTTTTTAAGTAATCCACGAGTATTGTTCGAGTTAATTTGTATTGTCCTTCTTTCAGTGTCTTTCACTACACTTGATGTCGCTTAGCAAAGCTCTTGTCTTTCAATTTTTTAGTCTAATCACTTGTTTGAAAGATAATAGTAAGTAATCTTCAAAAATTTTAGGTAAGTAACCCACAATTATTTTTTTATTTAAAGAAGAGAGCAATTTTTTTTTTCCCTAACATATTATAAAATAACAACAAAGCATTGATCAATCCACTACTATAGAGTGGAACTTAATGACCACTGATGATTTATGATCACTAAGTTTTTAATCAAACTGCATATGTATGCAAGTGGCCTATAAACACAACTTTATCATTGAATTCATTGATAAATTTTTTTTATAATTTTTTAGGAAACAATTTAATACGGCACTAAAACAAAAATATTGATAAATAATTATTCTAGATATATACTTATTTATTTCTGGAATCATTTCTATATATTCTTTATTAGCTATACATCGGTTTTCTTTGACCTAATAATAAGAAAAGAAATAAAAAGTTAATTTAATTATTTATAAATAAATAAGTATTCTTTATGAGATTCATGCAAGACCATATTTTTAAATTCTAAGGATATTTCTAATATGATTGTTACAAGAACGTATTGGACCATTTTAAACATTTTATAGAAATGATAAATTAAAATTGTTAAATTCCCTAACAAAATAAACTATTTTTATTCTTTATGTTTTTAATATCTGTTTTTAAAAATAACAATGAAAAAACATTTTAAAATATTAGTAAGAGGCAATAAAAATTTGAATCCTAAATTAAATAAAGAATTGAAGTTTATTTTAATCAGTAAATATATTTTTGATATGCATTTTTTTTTAATCTCCAGAAATAAAAACGTCATTATTTTACCTAAAATATTGTGAAATGTAGGTGAATTTATGAAAATAATTATATTTATTTGTATTAATTACTTGAAAAACAACTCTCATTTGATTTTTGTGCTAATTAACTTTGTATTTCTAATTGAAAATTAATGTTTATTATAATTTAGACAGCTAGAAAACAAAAATATTTATTTTTACAAAAAATTATTTAAAGCATATTTGCCAAATAAAAATGGAATGAAATGTTCTTAATCAACTTTTTAATTTTTCATTTGAAAGACTTAAAATTATTTTTGATCCTTTGCAATATTTTAATTATTATCTATCTTTTAAAAAGTATAGAATATTTACTTTTTAAAAGTGAATATTTGAAGTAATAACCATAAAAAATATTAGAAATCAAAACTACTTTGAAAAATATATTTTAGATTACGCCACGTTCTAAAATATAAAAATTGATATTTATAATTTATTTTACCATTAATCTTTCCTCTTTTTTTATAATTTTGTCCAATTGATTTCTGTAAATGGTATTTGAATTTTCAAAAGTTATCAAAGATTTTTGGCCTAATATACTTAGAGTATTATTTGTATCAATATGATCATTCGTGTTGGATTCCATTTTACAAAAATTAAATATAAGCTACTTAACTTTGTACAAGATTAAATTTAATATTTATTGTTTATGCATGAAAAAAATAGCAAAGAAAAAGTGGATTTATATTGTTTACCGGCATTGGGATAATGTAGTTGTTCGTTTTTTTGTTGATGTTTAATAATGTACTAGTATCATAGCAACCTTCAAATCAATTAAATTTATTATAAGATTGGTTACATCGAATATTTTTTAAATTTGAATCCAAATAGATTCTGTTCGATTATATTAATATAGTGTATAGAATACCGAAATTTAATAAGTACAATTATTTAATAGAATATTTTTTTTTTATTATAACGGCTGCGGTATAAGAACCTCAATATATAACAGCTTCAATAGAAATAAACAATTCAAAATATTCAAAAAATGTTCACCTAAATTTAAGATCACTATATCAGTATATTATACATAAAACGTGTTTAGCAGACGTCTTAATAATTCGAACTTTTTTTTATAGTATTTATTATAATTTATAACGTCTTTAACACAAATGTAGAATTTTTAAAAAATTGTGGAATGTATACTGAATGAGAATAGAATTTATTCTAATAAATTATGTTTCATTAATTATTCTAGAAATAGAATAGAAATTAGAGACAAAGTTTGTTTAGCGAACTGTATGTATGCAAATTTACAGCTGAGGTCATAGATTATTTCTGACAGAGGTTTACTTAAATAGTAATGTCTTAGGAAAGTATATTAATGTATTTTACTGATAAGCGTAAAATGATAAACATTTTAAGGTTAGAGTTATTAAAGTTTATTTAATTGGCACCAGGTAATTGTAACGGCTCCTTCAAAAATTCAACTTTTCGTTATTTAGAAGTTAGAATAGAGATTTTCATTAATTTAGCAGCCACGTAAGTGGCCAATTATTTTATTTTATTTTTTTCAATATGTTATACATGGTGTAAATTTATTATTTATAAACATGACTATGTTACTTTATGAAATTGCACTCATTATTTTGTTTGCAAGTACATCATATAGTTCAAAATTAAACGTTCCTCGAGTTTTATTGCCAGTATTTGACCATTTCACAGTTAATTTCAATATTGAAGTAACTGACGATGGCTGTTATAAATGGTTTGTTTGATAATTTTAATCCTGACTATTCAGATGAGAATTGAATATTATTATTTTTTAGGTCATTATTTAGAGGAGATAATATTATTAAACTAACACCACTCGACTTAAATCCTTCTCTAGGATGTTCAGGAAAGGCATCCGTTTCCTCCTTATCTAATGATAAAGTACGAAAAATAGCTATAGTTTTTGCTGAAGATATTAGTTCTGGTGAAACAATTCGATGCGATGTTATTGTTGATACTATATCATCTCTTCAAATTGTTACCAAAACTAGAGAACTTTTTGTTGGTGATGCACCAGAACTGTTTGAAGTATCTGCTTTTGACGACCAAGGTAATTTCCAATAATTTTTCAACTATTGTTACAAAATCTCATTTCAGTTATTATTTCCATGATTCAGGTAATCGTTTCACAACATTGGATGGTGTTGAATTTCAATGGTCAATAAAAGTTCTAAAAGATCCTACTAATACAGTTTTANTTCCAATAATTTTTCAACTATTGTTACAAAATCTCATTTCAGTTATTATTTCCATGATTCCAGGTAATCGTTTCACAACATTGGATGGTGTTGAATTTCAATGGTCAATAAAAGTTCTAAAAGATCCTACTAATACAGTTTTAAAATTTATATCATTTAAAGATTCGCCTTATAGCACCCCATCAGATCTTTATGAATTAGATGAAAGAAATAAACAAGGACATATGGTGCTTGTTGAAGGAGTTAAAACAGGATCAGCAATAGTATTTAACAATTTTATTTATGAATTTTATTATTGTTAATATTTTATGAAATCTTAATATTTTAGGTGACTGTCAAGTTAGCATCAGATGAAAATCCAAAAGCACAAGTAGAGTTGTCAGTTATTGCTAATCTAAGATTAGATCCAGCTCATGTTAATGTATTACTTGGTGATCTTCTTCAAGTTGATATATATCAAGTAATTCATTATTTTTTGAAAATTATATTTGAAAATTTTTTGAAATTATTTATAAAATAATATATAAATAAAAAACAGAAAATTTTACAAAATTCTATTTTGAATAATTTTATTTCAAATCTTTTTTGTTTTTTACAAATTTTCTTTTAAATTAACTAGCTGTAAATTTTCCAACAAAGATTCTTTAATTTTGTTGAATCTATTTTTTTAGTTGTTTGATTTGAAATTATTTTATTATGTCTATTTGTTTCAAATTATAATACAATATTTATATACATATTAATATTTTAGATACAAAATGAAAAATTAGTAAAAATAAATTTACCTTCAAATCAGTATTCTATTGAAGCTGATACATCAACAGAGATTGAAGTACTTAGTGCAAAAAATAATGCTGGGCTTTTTAAAGCTTTAAAAACAGGTCAGATCAGATTAAATTTAAAAGATCATCATGTTGCAACTAAAAATGACACTATTCCTAAGTCAATTAGTAGTTTTGTTAATGTATGCAAAGTTGAGTATTTGTCAATTGTCATCAAACCTAACAAGTGCAATTTAATGATAATTGATAATATATATGAGTTAGAAGTACATTTATATAATAGGTACTCATTACTGTAATTAGTATTTATAGTTTATTATTATGACCATTTTTATTATAGCAAAAACCAATCAATTCAAATTGGGCCAAATGTTATAGTGTCTATAGCATTACCTGATGATTATTTTGAAGTAATAAATACTGTACAAAATGGTTCTTATGTCGTGGTTCGACCTATCAAACTAGGAATACCAATAATTGAAGCATCAATTACTGAACCATATAATGTACTAGAATCAAATACTAAAGTTCCTGTACCAATTTATTCCAGAATAAAAATAAAACCAAAAGAAGTTATTTTTCCTTGGCATTTAAATCTTAATAGCGGGTAATTTAATTTCATATATACATTTTTAGTACTAAAACTTATATCATAAGCTGATGACCTAGTTGCTGAAACTATAGATAAAATAATACATAAATATTAGGTTTGTTTATGAGCTGATACTCTTCTATCATTCATTGTTGATTTATATACAGCGTGTCACACCAAGTTTTAACATCTTCAAAAACTTTTAATCTAGTAAAAACTTAATAAAAAAAATTTTTTTTTAATGATTTTTACACTTTAGTACCACATTAAAAGTTTGTTTTTTTTTTTGTTTCTAATAAAAAAAAAAATTATTAAAAATTTAAAAAAACCCATTTTAGCTTTTTACTTACAAATAGTTTTAATGGGTCAATAAGAACTTTAGAATTTTTTTTTATTTCCAAATAGCTATTTTTTAGCCATTTTCTTATAAAAAATAAAAGTTGATAACTTTAGGGTAAGTACTTATTGAGTTACAAATATTTTAATATATAGAGTTGACATGTAGCATGAGTGGCATCTATATAGTGTGGTGGAGTGCACATATACCAGTACAAGCTGTATCCACTCATGCTACATATCGACTCTATGTATTAAAATGCTTGTAAGTTAATAAGTACTTATTTTAAAGTTGTTATCAATCTATTAAAATTTTTTGAAAGAAAACAGCTAAAAAATGACTTTAAAAATGTTGAAAAAAATAAAAATAAAATGATTTTATTTATTTATTTCATTTATTAATATATTATTTTGAGTTGGTGCTCATAATGTGATATATTAGCTATATATGATACATTTTCTCTTAGAGGTCATAAAAATCAAATTTCAACATGAAAAACAAAGAAAATAAAAAAACGCATCAAGTTTATATTCACCAAATTATAGCACTTCAGAAACGCAATATTTATTTTTTATGTATCTTAATACATACAGTTTTTTTATACTGTAATTTTGAATGTTGATTTAAATTTTTTTATTTATTTAAATTAAGATTACAGCATTAAAAGTTATTAAACGTGTTTGAATTAAGACATATTGATAATTTATTTATTTAATTTATTAAGTAATAAATATAATTGTTCTTTTATTTTAGATTACAGTATGTATTAGAAGCTACTGGTGGTGACAAGAGATATAGTTGGAGCACTAATGATGCTCTCGTATGTACAGTTACATCCCTTGGAGTAGTTACACCTCAAGGTTTAGGTGAAACTTATATCACTGCTACTATGACCAAAGATACTTTAAACCGTGATAATACTAGAATTTATGTGGTAATACCTGATGTTTTAAAAATAATTGCTCAACCTGTAGAGCAAGAAGCTGGCAAACCTATAGTTCTTTATGTGCAACTCTTTGCTAAAAAACCAGGTGTTGATGAAGAAACTAGTATTAATGTTTGTAATCACAATCAGTTTAAAGTTGAGGTTGAAGATTTCCAATTTACATTTAAACCTTATAACTCAGCTCCTTTAATAAACAACTCATGTGCAGCATTTTATATAAATTCTGATGTTGTATCTTCTACTCGAGTAACTGTATCTTTTGAAACTGATATCACTATTTTAAAAGCATCAGTGATAGTCAGTACATTTAAAAAGTTAGTTCCATTGAGGCCTGAATCCAAACGTACAGTGTTGGCTCCTGGTTGCAGTACTACTTTAATTTTTTATGGTGGACCTCAACCTTGGCTAGGTCATAGTATAGAGTATAAAACAGAATTTGAAATTGACAGTAATTTAATTGAATATTCTGAACTTCCTGTTAATCGAGATATTGATGGACATAAAACCTATGCTTTTTTTATTACTTGTAATAGTTTGGGATCGACTAGAGCCAATCTCACAGTTAAAAGCATTTCTGATTTTTCTAAATCAAGTATTACTGAAATTGTTTCTAAAACATCAGTTGAAGTGATTTGTGCATCACCTAAGTTTGTAAAAGTATTAATTGCTGATGCTGAAGATAGTTGTCCACTGACAAAATTTGCTAATAAAATTGTTGCCTTGAATTTTGAGAAATTATACTTGCATGTTAATATAATAGATGAAAATGGAAATATTTTTGATAATGCAACTATGGTAAATACAAGTTGGACCATAACAGATAATGATTTAGTAAAAGTTATTAGTTCTTTAGAACTCAATGAAATTGAAGAATATGGATTTTCATTTCCAAATTATCATTACACAGTTATTGAACCTTTAAATAAAGTTGGGTCAACAGAAGCTGTAATTCAGATTACAGGTTATAAAAAACCATTTATTATTCCAAATGACTCACACTTCAGTTCATTTTTAGCATCAAATACAAAATTACTAGAAATTAATCCGCCAATTAAGTATTCAATGACCATTTTGTTAGTAAATAATGTTATTGTTAATCCAGAAAAAGTTTTAGTAATTTATCATCCCAAGATTACTAGTAAGCTTTTTATAGATCAAGGGTCTGGATATTTTAATGTTCATATGAATACTCAAGACATAGCAAAAATATCACATAGTGGAAGACAGATTGACATCACTCCTTTAGCTCCAGGAAATTTACAATTAAATGTTATTGATTTGTGTTTAAAATCTAAATCAGCTGAAGTTATGTTTGAAGTCCGAAGTATTTACCGAATTGAATTATTAACTAATGCTTTTGTTGAAATTGGAGAAAGTATTAAAGCTCTCATAAAAGTTTATGACTCTGATGACAATCCTCTTGCATTCCAATCAGATGTGCTTAATATACAACCAGTAATTGAATCAAATATCCTTTCATTAACAAAAATAAAAGAAGATAAACAACAGAAAGATTTTAATAATGAGATAATATTTAATGTGAAAGGTTTAGAATTAGGAGAAACCAATTTATATTTTATTGCTGACACTTATCTTTCTAAGCAAATACGTACTCAAACAACTTCTATTAGAGTATATTCACCACTTCAAATTACTCCTAAAAATTTAACTATTGCTGTTGGGTCTAGTTATCAATTAGTAATGCATGGTGGTCCACAATTGGAATGTGTATTTGAATATTCTTCTGAAGATGATAAAATTGTGAAAGTTATTAATGGTGGTCTTGTAAAAGGTCAAAATATAGGGACTGCAATGGTCACTGGTATGGCAGTTGGAGTAGATGTCATTACTGGTAAAAAAGTTGTATATTCTAAAGATGTTATTACTATTAGAGTAATTAAACTGACAAACATTAAAATTGAAGTTCCTCTATTTAAAATAAAATCTGGCGAAATAATGCCTGCCTGGGTTAGAGGTATGCCAGATGCTTTGAGTCCAATTATTATTGGAACGATAAAACCATCATTCAAATATCATTGGAGCACTTCTTCTGCTGGAATAATTCAAATATCTGATGTTTTAGAAAATACAGGAATATTGGTTAATACAATTAATTTTTTTTTCTTATAAAAAATTTTAATTTTATATCTATTTAAAGGTGCGCGAAGATGATCGATTATCAGTACGTATTCGTGCTATTAGAGCTGGTAATACTAGAATTAGTGTTACGGTAACAGATCCATCAACTAAAGTTATTTTCACCAATTTTATTGACATAACTGTATATGATGATTTGCGTTTGATTTCACATGTATTGCCAATTAATAGTTTAATTGTTACTCCAAGTACAGAATTTATGTTAATGACAAATAAATACAAAGTAACAATACTTAGTTTTTAAGCTGTATTTTCCTTTATTAATGATTTTTTTTAGGTAGCTAAACAATCATTTTGGGTTAGTGGAACTTCAAAGTTTGAAAAAAATAATTTAATTGAACAAGATAAAACTTACAATACACCTTTGATAACAGTTGACGAAAATACAGGACTTGTAAAAACTTTCAGTACATTGGGTCGTAGTAGTATATTTATTAGTACTACAGAAGATTTCAATATTGTTCAGTCATTAGATATACCAATTGAGGTATTTATGTATAAATAATGTAATTTGTATTATGCTTAACTGTTACTAAATTTTAAAAGAGTTGTAAGAATCATTTATTAAATTTTTTTACATTTAATAATTTTAGAATTAAATTTAAATCAGAAATTCATTTTTTATTTAATCATTAAATATAAGCTTTTATAGAGCTTCTCAAGCAAATTATAATAATTATTATTGATAGCGTTTTACTTATTCACTGATAATGTTTACTAAATCAGACATTGACAATAAAAATATTATACAATTATAAAAAGATTTGGGGTCTCACAAATTATATTCAAAATAATGTAGTGGAGGTTATAAATTTAACCCTATACCTCTAGTATAAGAGGGAAGGTAAGTAAAGAAATATTTAAAGTGTTAAATTCCCTTCACTTTTCAAAATTACAATTGGTTGACAAATATAATGTAAATAAAATAATGGGGTTGATGAAATCAATTACGTTATTTCAATCTAACATAATATGACTAATCAGTTGCTCCCGCATAAATAATGTATATCTATGACCATTAAGTCAAGTATAAAATTTTTTTAAAAAGTTATTGGAAAATTATGAAAACCAGAGAATTTAATCATTTTTAATCTATAGTTATCATGAAAATATTAATAAATTACTTATAATTCATAAATTAAATCATATAAATATTTTTTTAGGTCAAACGAGTAAATTATATCATGTTAAATATAGAGGCTACTATTCATTCCAAAGAACCTTCTCAAATATCCATGGTTCCAAGTGGAATGAATATGAAACTAGTTGTCACCTATCATGATGATAGAGGAATCCAATTTAAAGCAATGAATTCTGACATAAAATATTTGACAAATCATTTTAATCAAGTATGCATTTATTTCATTAAAAATAATACAAAAATATATTTTATTACTTGAATTTTATCAAATTAGATATCAATGACACCAGGCGATCAGAAAAATGAAATGGAAATATCATTGTTTGAATCGGGTGAAGTCATTTTAAAAATTTGGGATAATGGTGCACAACATTTTAAAGAAGATTACATTAAATTTAATGTAGAACATCTGATTTATCCAAATCAAGTATGAATTATTATTTATTAAAATTTTAATATATATTCATTTTTGTTTTTAAGCTCATTAAGCACATAGCGATATTCCCTAAAGGAGTAGGGTTCTTAACCATTAATACTCTAAGACTAGTGGTTAGTCTGATGCTGAAGAGAGGGTGAACGATTTCAATTACTGAACTGATCTCTTGCTCGCCTATTGAAGCCACCTGTGACAGAGTTTTGAACCCATGACAGTGCGCATTACCGACTTGGCCACACCGTCCCTCTTTGTACATTGTATATATTTATAATTTGATATTATTAAAGTATGATGATGTCATACTTTAAACCAAATTGATATATTTGGTGGCTTTATATTGATAATCTAGTATTACAAATTTAAAGAGTTATTTGGCTCTAAAAATACTTAACATTTGTTCCTGATAATATTAGTTAAAGAAATATTTTCCTTAAAGGTGGTAATATTAACAGTATATGAAATATGTGTAAGCCTACAAAAAAAAAAGGGTTTTAAAATCTATTTATTTTAGGCGACTGTTACTGTAGGAGATGTTATTTGTTTTCTAATGCCAGTAAAATTTAATGAAGATGAAATGGGTAAATGGCAATCAGATAATATTAAATCATTGGAGATAGATAATTTATCTGGAATTAGTGTAGCTTTAGCACCTTCAGATGTTTTTGTGACATACTCCAATAATAAATTTACGACATCTACTGGCATTACTATTTTACCTATTAAAGATGTATGTAATATTTTGTATACTAAAAATGTTATGGTTTATAAATAATTCCTCGTTTTTAGATAATAATTTTACCATTTGATAAAAATGTGCTATCGAATAGCGGCCAAATTGATATTCCATTAGTCTTAATAAATGAACTAGAAACTCCTTCATCAATTAAAAGTAAAAAAGGAAATAAATGGGAATGGCGTGATGATGACTGTTCTAGACGAATTAATATATTGAAACGTTATCCATATATTTGCAATGTACGATTTGAACCAATATCATCTAGTCAAGCAGAAATTTTACCAATTAATCGAATATATGATGTAAAACCAAACTTCAATTTGAAAACAGGTAAAATAAACAAACAATTGAAATTACATTGTTTTAAAGTAATTCATTTTTAGGTTACTATAGTTGTAGTCTTACTTCACTACCAATAATTGATCCTGAAATGAGTTTGATTAAAGCTAAAATTGTAATTCAAGTTTCTTCTGGCCAAATTAATACTGAGTTTAAAGAAATAAAATTTTTGCCTTCAGTTTTTATCAATAAAAAAGAATTATTTTTTGGACAATTTAGTGGAAATGACAAATTAACTCTTATTGGGTTACCCCAAGTGTTATCACAAATAAAAGTAATTGGTTTATTTGAAATAAAACAATAATTTAATTTAATTTAGTTATTTTTATAGGTATTATCAAGTAATGAATCACTAGTACATCCTGTATTGTACAGTGAAAGTGAAAATGAAAAAATATTTACGTTTGAAGTACACAATTATTTTTGGAATGGTACATTCCCTGAATTACATATACTTATATCTTCTCCATTAACTAATCAACAATCAAAGGTATGCTTTTATTTCAAATTTGTGTAATTGAATTACATATAAATGTTTTTTGCTGATTTTTAATATTTTAAAGATTTTATTTGGTTGGTAGTTTTAAGTAAAAGATTTTTATAGGAACAACTATAATTTAATTCACTTCAAAGTTAAAAAAAATATGATTCAATCCATTTATTTATTAAATTTTAATTTTATGCACCATGGTCTTTATAATTCAATATAATATTATAGAAAGCCAATTTTTTTTCTATTTTCAATTAAAAATAAAAATAAAAGTAAATAAATTTATTAGAATTAAAAATATTTAATTAATTATTTTCGTTTACTGCTTTATCATTGCATACAATTCTAATAACTTAATTTTATTAACAATTAAATTAACGGAAATTAGTAAATTATTATTAGTGAAATACAATTAACCTTTATACCTTAGTAATACTTAATATAATCATGCAAATAATTATGAACAATAAATAATGTACCAACAGTAAAAAGACTAAGATATGTTATCCATACTTCTATTAAAGTTGTAGCTTTATTATGTAATTGAAAGACTTGCTGCAACAACAGGAGAAGTCACTTTTAGCCTTGAAAAAGGCTGAAAAAGTGTTGGTTTTACCTTGATATTTTTTTTGTGTCTGTTCATTAAAATTTTCAACTCTCAATGGACTAATATTGTTGATTTATGTGTAAAAGAACCCAATTTTAATTTAGAATCTATAAGCGCTAAAAATTCTAAATAAAACTTCTCAGTTTTAGAAAAATATCTCAAAACTACAGTCATAAAAATGGCCTTTTTAAAAAATTATTGTCCTTTAAAATTGCTATATTCTTTTTCAACAAACATTAACCTTAATGAAATTCTATTTGAATATATTAAAGAAAATAAGCTTTCTTTTCATATGCTTTTTATGAAAATCACAAGTACTAAAAGACTAAAAGAAACCATATTCACAAGAAAATTTTTTTTTCAATTCAAATTTCTGGTACATCTGATAACTTTTAAACTACATCAATATAAAACTTTTTAAGTGTACTACAATATTTTTAAAAAAACATTCAGATAATTAAAGAGACCTGCCTAGCTCAGTTGGTAACACATTGAGCCGCAGTACATAGGTACAGGAATTTGATTCTGTTATGCTGGGCTATGTATGATTATTTTTAACGTTAACGAATAACTTTTAGATAGAGCATAAAACATTTTCAACATGAAATTTTTTAATTTATAGATACCTGTAGTGACCTCACGTTCTCTTTTTGAATATGACTTTTCAAGACAAAGTTCAAGTAAACATTATGCCAATAATCAGGTTTATCAATCTACCATGTTTCATTTTTTACCTGGAAATTTTTCTAGCAGTATATTTTTCAATCCATATATAATTAGTTTGGCTATAGTAATTATTACATCTTGCTTTAGTAAGTCTTTATTACTTAAACATTTATTATTAAATTATGATTCAATATACCAATGATATAATTATGGTTATGTTTTGGGAAGAATACACATAAAAAAAATTGTTCACTTCCCATTCCAAACAAAAAAAAATTATATCTTCCCTATATGATTATTTTTTTGGAGAGGGAAATAGAACATCCGTATCACCCATAATTACACCAATGTAATGTACACATTATACATATACCCTTATATATTTATACAGAATGATTCATTAAGGATAAGACACTCGTGTACTCAGTAACTATTGAAAATTAAAAATTTTTGGTAAGGAAAATATTGTTTGATTCAAAAAACACTACAATTATATGTAGTAAAAACATGATATTTTTCATCCCTTCAAGGTTAAAAAACATTAACTTGAGTTTTTTAAATGAGAACACATATTTTGAATTTAATAAAATGTTTGAGTTTTTAATTTAATAGCAAATGACATTTGAATTTTTAATATAACTTTATTTGTTTATTAGATATAAACACTTAAAGTTTCAAATTTTTGAGTTAATATATTTGTATAATACACAAGGGATTACAAATACAGGTAGCTAATTGGTTTTTTATGACATCGCTGTCACAGACACGGAGTATTTATTGTCAGTTATGACTATCAATAGATATACTTTCTGTACTACCAATTAGTGTATTTATAAAATCACAATAATGTGCTTACTACCATTGATAATAAATGCTGTGTCCCTGCAAGAAATTAACTTAAAAAGTAACACATAGTTAATAATTCAAGAATAATGTATAACTAAAGATAACTAAAAAAAATGTTTAAATTATTTTTATTCTGTAAGTAATTGAGTGGGTTATGATAAAAAAATCATTCTGTATATATATATATTAGAAATATGTTGCATTCATTGAAAATAATTTTTTTTTTTTTTCAAAAAAATTTTAAGTGTAATTTTTTATGTAACTATATGAATAAAGAAAAGATGTTATTAACAAATCAAACTTCAATTTTTTTGGGGGGGTCCCCTCCAAATCATAATGAATATTCTCAAGTATTATAATAAAAATATTTATCTATTCAATTAAATAAATATAAATATTTTTATATATAATAGTTTATTGCTATGGACTACCTTCTGGCGGCCGATGTATAACTTTTGTCAAAAGTAAGTAGCTAACTTAATTTAATCAAAACAGTATTTCAATTTCATTGTTTTAAATTTTAGGCCCCCCAACACCGCCATCTCCTCCAGTAGGGTTTTACAATAGAAGTTATTCAAGTGACCATAGTAATAGATCTTCTTCATTAAATCTTAATAGATCATTTACTAGAAGGCAATAAAACTAAATAAAATTGTAAAATCTAAATTAAAAATGTTCACTAAGCAGTTATTTTATTTTTATTGTAAATAAATCTTTAAAGCTTGTATACCTTTCAAGTTGAAAATGAATTACTAATTGTATTATATCTTAAAATAGAGAAATACACAATGTACATGGTATTAAAATTAATTTAAATGTAATTTATATGATAAGGATATTTTATTAAGTAATGAATGTTTATAATTGTTTAATAGAAATTGCATTTAATAAAAAAAATTGGGTTCTGAATTTTAACTTTTTAAGAATAAAAAATAATTACAGTACATCATTCTACTCTTATGTTTGTTTAATCCAAATATTTTTCTTTTATATTTTTTTATATATAAATATTTTAAATGACAATTTTATATTCATTTTAAAATCAGTACAATTGTACTAGTATTTCGTTTTTCTTTTAAAAATAATTATTAATTTATATTTTGTTTAATAACTTCTATGTAAGAGTATTCATATTTTTTTTAGAAGTATAATTTTATTTTAATTTTTAAACTTAATTGACAAAACATTAGACTGGAGAATTTGATATTACTTGATTATTATAACTTTGTAATTAGTATTTTTATTTTTATTTTTTTGTAGTTTACTATATTGATTAGTGACTTCATAAGTCATAATTTAAAAAGTCTATTATTTAATTTTAAATGATGATAAATAATGATTGTGTTTAAAATAAATTTCATAAACAAAACTATTTTGTAACTTAACTATAATTTCATTCTAATTGCTCCTACGGATACAAGAGTCATATGAACATAACAAATTTATTCCAAAATATTTTTTTTTATTTTATAATGTTTCAGAAATCCTGTGTAATTAAAAATTATTAATATCAATTTATTGGTTTTTTTATTGTATGAAAAGAAAAAAACTAAGACAATGAATAATTGACCCATCAAAAGATCACAAATGGTAACTAGTTAAAGACATTTAAGACTTTTAAAAGTTAAAAAAAAAATTCCTTTGTTCTCCATATACACTCCTAAAAAATATTATTAAAATATCGGTAATTTTGTCATTTTAAAATAAACTGCCTTAACTCTTTGAAAAATGAATGAATCAAAAAAAAATTTTTTTTACATAAATACCTTAGGTCTTTCTCTTTTATGTATTATATATTTATTTTGGAAATATAGATATTTACCTACTCAAATAGAGAAATTTAAAATAGCAAATTTTACATGAAAAGTTTACTTTTCCAACTTAAATTTTGGGAATCCTGAAACCTTTATATATTTTAATTACAGTATATGTAATATACTTAATACTGTAGTATTATACAAAAATGAATTGCTCCTCAAGACTCGTCTTTATGGTAAAAACAAATACTATATTTAAAAATGATATTTTTGTGTCAAAATTTTTTTTTTTTTTTTTTACATTCTTAACCATATACTGCTATAACTTTTTGAAACTATTTGGATCAATACAATTTTTTTAGCTTCAATGAAAAGCAAAAGGTATTAATTTTACCATTATGTGATTATTTTTTTTTTTGTCTTTAACTACTTTTTTTCAGCTCTCACTGGACCGAATTTTCTCAACGATTCGTCAAAAGATCATAAATCGTATTTAATTGAAGACATTACCCTCAAAAATTGAAAAAAATTCCCTAGATCCCCGTAAATGATGGAAATCCCAAAAGAATTACAATTTTTAAAATCAGTAAATTTTGACTTTTTTTCTAAAAATTGCCTTAACTCTTTGAAAAATAAATAAATAAAAAAAATTAGTTTTAGCTTCGATGCGAAGCTGAGAAGGTATTGGTTTTACTATGATGTGTTTTTTTTTTATGTCTGTTGCCACTTTTTCTCAGCTCTCACTGGGCCGATTTCTTTCAACAATACGTCAAAAGATCACAATTCTTATCTAGTTGAAGACATTACCCTAAAAAATTAAAAATTTTTCCCTCGTTCCCCGCAAATGGGGGAGATATCCAAAAAACTTACAAATTTAAAAATCGATAAATTTTGTCATTTTTTTCACTTTTCTTAAAACTTCATTTTTAATGTTTATTTTTCAAAAATAAACAAATCAACATAATTTTTGTTTAAACTAAAGCCTTAGATATTTCTCTTTCATTTGATATCATTTTTTTTGAAAATCTAACACTTAACCTGCTCATTGGGGGGGAATCTTTTCATGATTACTGTGTATACATATGATGATAATGTGTATACATTACAAACTTGTCATTAATACCATGATAAGAAATTAGATAAGGCAATTATTACTTATCACTCTCATTCAAAAGTATATTGAAAAGATAGCGTTTTCTTTTGTCCTTTTCTCAATACGTATTTCAATGTTTAATACCGTAAAATAATACATGAAAATTCAAATTTTNTCAATGTTTAATACCGTAAAATAATACATGAAAGTTCAAATTTTAACAAATTTTAAAACGCTACAGAATATTTACTATTCAATATTAATAAGATATATTTTTACTAAAATTTTTCTTAAATTCTACTCTACAAAATAGCTATCTTAGATTTTTTTTTTTACTTTTATTTAAAATTTAAAAATAATTAATATTTTTAATAAAATGTAAAAAAATTAATTATTGAGATATAGCTATAGACCTAACGTATAACTATTATTTAAAAAAAAAATCAACTAAAAATATTAACTGGATCAAAAGTTATTTAAGTTGTCAGTGAATGGTGGGCCACTCTGTATATATCTTAAATTAAAGCTAATGTAATTTACTTTCTTATGAAAAAAAGAAATTTGACCTCTGGACTTGTCTTCGTAGTGAAAATGGCTAATTTTTTTAATATAAAATAGCGAATGCTATTTTTGTGTGAAAATTCTGGATTTTATTTTTTACTTTATAATGCTATAACCACTTATTGAAAAGTGTATGGATCAACACAATTTTTTTATGAGAAATAATATTTATATCCCTCTTTCATTCGACATACTTTATTTTAATCAGTATATAAATAAGGATCTAGCAGATCATGTAGCTTTTGGAATAATACATCATTTTTTTTAAATTAAATACTATCTAAAGATTTGCATCGAAGCGTTTTTTTTTTGTATAGTGATTTTAATCACTGTAAGATATCATTATAATTGATCCAACTATGCCACGTCACCACTGTGCAACGACCCTTTTTTATTTTATTTTAAAATATCTTATAAGGGCAATACACTGACTTCCATGAATATTATATAATTTAATTGACATAGAATAAAGTTCATAAGGCATAAGAAATTAAACTTATTAAATTTTTTTTACTTTTTAAAATCGAAAAAGTAATTTTTAAATTTGAGTTAGCTTAAATTGTCAATTTTATCATGCGACGAAAGCAACGAACAGTTGCCGAATCGGTAACACTTGTTTCTATCACGTTTAGGGTACGAGGTTAGAATCCGCCTGTGGCTATTAATATTCTGCAAATTTTTTTTTTGAGTTAGAAAAAAATTTTCAAATCATGATTTTTATATCATTTAGATTCAATAACTTCAATAAATATCACTGTAGAGTCTCCTCGTGAGAAGAAATTTCATATTCATGTTAATATTATTTATTTTTCCAACTATTACTTTACCTGCTTTTTTCAACGAGACGTCAAATTATTACAATTTGTATTTAGTTGAAGATGTTATCTTTAAAAATTGAAAAAAAAAATCCCTTGAACCAATAAAAAGTAGCTTAACCAGCTTTTATCCATACAAACAAATAAAATCATTAATTTCTAATATTTTTAAAGTATTTATTTTTGAATTAAATTTGTGTGTGCTACTATTATTATATATTTAGTATTTTGAAAAATTATTGAATGAGGAGTACCCAAAAGAGATTTTAGAGGATATCTCGTGGAATGGGGGACTGGTAGATTTAATTAGTGAGAGAGAGGTATCGGAGGCTGTGGCATCAATGAAAAAGAATAAAGCAGTGGGACCAGATGAAGTTCCAGTAGAAGTATGGAAAATATTAGGCGGTGTTGGCATAAGGTGGTTGAAGGAACTTTTAAAAAAAATCTTATTGGAAGGGAAAATACTAAATGAATGGAGGAATAGTATTATAGTGCCGCTATTTAAAGGTAAATGTGACATACAAGAGTGTGGAAATTGTAAAGGCATAAAGCTTACGAGTCATAGTATGAAAATTTGGGAAAAGGTAATATATAAAAGAATAAGAAATGAGACATCGGTATCTAAAAACCAGTTTGGATTTATGCCTGGTAAGTCAACAATGAAGCCAGTATTTTGTGTGAGGCATTTTGTGTATGGTATTTATAGATTTGGAAAAAGCGTATGACAGAGTGCCGAGAGAGGTTTTAAAGTGGTCATTAATGAGAAAAGGAGTCCTGAAAAGGTACATTAATATAATAGGAGATATGTATGATGGCACTTGAACCAGGGTAAAAAGCGTAGGAGGATTATCAAAAGGTTTTCGGATAAAAGTAGGAGTGTACCAAGATTCTACTTTAAGCCCTTACTTATTCTCTATAGTGATGGATGAAATTACTAGAGAAATACAAGGAGAGGTGCCGTGGTGTATGTTGTTTGCTGACGATATAGTGTTAATAGGAGAAAATAGGGAGGAAATTAATCAAAGGCTAGAGGTATGGAAATCAGCTATTGAAGAAAAGGGTTTAAGGATAAGTAGAAGTAAGACAGAGTATATAGAGTACGAGTTTGACAAAGCAGAACACGAGGTAGGTAAAATGAGGAGGTCAGTGACAATAGGCGAGGATGCGATTGGAGAGGTGGAGAGTTTTAAGTATTTAGGGTCAGTTGTTTAAAAGAATGATGGTATTGAAGAGGATGTAAGACACAGAATTAAGTGCGGTTGGTTGAAGTAGAAAGAAGCGTCTGGTGTCTTATGCGATAAAAGAATTCCAATGAGGCTGAAAGTTAAATTCTACAAGACTGTAATAAGGCCAGCTATGGTGTATGGTTTAGAGAGTTGGATGGTTGATAAGAAAGTAGAGCAGAGAATTAGTGTAGCAGAAATGAGAATGCTTAGATGGATGAGTGGAGTGACTATAAAAGTAGGATATAGAACAAACATATAAGAGGGAGAATAGGTGTAGCCTCAATCGTGGATAAGATGAGAGAAAATAGACTTAGATGGTTTGGTCATATTATGAGGAGAGAAGAATCGGAAGCTGTAAGAACAGTTATAGAAATGAATGTTGGAGGAAGAAGAGGTAGAGGAAGACCAAAAAAGAGATGGAGGGATGCTATTGAATGCGATTTGAGGACAGTTGATGTGAGCGTAGATGATGTGGGAGATCGTGTCAAGTAGAAGTTTAGGATAAGGGTGGCCGACCCCAAGTAGTTGGGATTGAAATGGTATAAAGCACAAGTTCTCAACCTTAAGTTTGTAATGGCTCATCAATTTTTTTGTAAGCAAAAGACTAAAAAATTACAATTTTGAAATTTCAAAAAAATTCTCCTTGATCATCCTAGTAAATTAGGATAAAAAATAATATGCTGCTTTATTATTATCACGCAGAGAGATGTATTCTAAGTTGTGCACCTTGTTCACCTATAACTAAAAATTATAATAACACATACATTTTATGTGTGCAGTTTCCTTACTATATAAAAATAGTTAATAACATTAATTATAATATATAATATAATAATATAACAATAAATAGTTTTACTATAATAGTTTATATTAAAAAATCTTAAATAATGTGTAATTGAATTTGTATATATTTCTGAACATTCAATATGAATAAATGAGTTATACATTACATAATTATGATTTGTGCTATTTGCTATGTATAATTTATGATCAAGTGATTTTAATTTTTATGTTGGCTTTTTTTTTTGTCTTTTAACCTTAGTGTTAAATGAGCAAATCTTTTCAGTTGGTTTTTTTTAATTCGTTAAAATTATGTTAGTAAAATCTCATTAACTTTATGAATTTAGTTAATGCAATTATTAGTAGGTTTGCAAAAGTATCATATTTATAGATTAATCCATATTTTTTCTTTTTTACATTTTTTAACTTCGATGTTAATCTAACATTTTACTATTGTGTGTATATTTTTCATATATACATATATAAATATTTTTTTTTGTATCGTCTACCATTTTCTTATTTCTTACGAATTTTTTTTATTGAGGGATACATCTATTTATGATTCGATTTATCTCGGTAAATAGATGAATTTAAATGAAAGATCGATTTGCTAAAATAATCTAAATACCCCCACTTGTAGGAACTCTTTTCCTTTTTGAAAATGAAATAACATCACCAATGATGGAGATTAAGTATATTTGATATAACTTAATTACGCGTTATCAATGCAAGTATTGTATATTTGATAAAATCGCTAATGGATGAAAGGAAAACAACGCTTAAGATAAGGTCTTCGAAATAACGTAATTGACATTTAATATTTAACAAAATTCAATTTCTGATTTATTAAATAACTATGGATTGGATGTACGATGGCGGAATAAAAGTTGAAAAGGAAGATTATCTACTAGGAAGAAAAATTGATAAAAATGTATTAGATATTCCAGAAAAAGGTATTTAGATTTAATTTAAATTAAGCTCATTGGTAAAAAATTGAGTGGTTTAATAAAAAAAACAATTTTTTTTATGATACTTCTAGGTGTTTCTATTTAGTTAGAAATATATTACAATAATAATTAATTTTGTTTTTTTTATCATGTTTAATGTCATTAAGTCAATATTGTATATTACCCTGCCCGCGCTACATACTCACTCTTTTTATTAAAATGCTGTAATGAATGAACAGTATGCGATTTAAAAAAAATTGTAAGAAAAAATTTGTTTATAATTTCATTATCATATTATCAAGTTAAAATCTACTTAAAAAAATTTTAGTTAAGTTTTATAATTTAATGGTATGAGACAATTAATTATTTAACTACTTATAGTAAAGTTTCTTGAATCAATTTTTTTTTTCTATATACTTTTATGGTTCTTGTGTATTTCAATGTAGTGATTAACCCTGTGGTAGTCATACAGTTCTAGAGTATTAATTTTGTTGTTTGGGTTAATAATTTTCTGTTACTTGTTAAACTCGCAACTTTTGTAAAATTTTATATATTTTTTTATTTAAGTATATTCAAAATAAAACTAGAAAATTTAATACTTTATTTTAAATAATTCTGTTTCATTTTTTGTCTAATTAATATTTGCCAATGTACAATTATTAAATATAATATATTATATGTAGAAAATATGTTATATAATTGTTATTATTATGAAAATTTTCTATAATTTTTAGTATCAAAGCAAACTATATACAGCTATCATTAAGAGGCTCAATATCTTTGATAAAATTTTTAATAAAAACAATATAGAAACGAATATACTTTTTCATTTCAATAATTGCCAAAATAGTACCTATAAGAATTTCAATCTTCAAGCAAATACAATTTTATTTAACACAAAATTTTTTTTAAAACATTCTGTATTGTTTGGGTAATTTTTTTATACTCATACCCGACTGAAGTTTAAATAATAAAAATATAAATAGTACATTAGGATTAGTTTCAAAAATTAATTTATGAATTAAATATTTCATTTTTGTTATCTAATTATAATGATTTATTTTTTAATTTTATGTTTTGATATATTTGTGTTTTAGAATCATTTTTACCAACACCCATATGTTCAAATAATGATAAATTCTCACAAGTAGATATATCTAAAAAAATTTCTGAAGATCCATTGGTAAAAATTAAAAAAAGAGAGATTGAATGTACTCAAAAACTTCTTCAAAATCCAATTCGTTTAAAAAAAAACCAGCAAAATGACAAATCTCTTAAATGTGCAATTGATGACCATCAATTGGATATGATATTAGTTAGCCGATTAAAATCATATGAAAAAGCTGGTCTTGATCTTGCAAAAATATTGTCCATGACAAAAAAGAAAAAACATAAAAAAGAACATAAAGAAGAAAGTTTTAAGGAATCAGCTAAAGAGTTCAATGATAAAAAGTTTTATTACAAGGCAAAACAACAGAGAAATAAATCTAATAGCTCTGATAGAAATGTCACAATGCATAAATCAATAAAATCAAATGAATATAAAGATAATAAATATAGAAAATCTAACAGAAATAATGAAAAAAATGATAATTATATAGAAAGTTGTAAACATAATACTAGTAATAAAAGTAAAAAAACATATTCTGAAAAGAATGATCAGTTAAATGATTGTAGAAGAAATAAAAAAAATAGATCTAAGTCTTCAGAAGAGGGATTACAACAATATCAGAACAAATATAAAAATAATCAAGACAATAATAATGCATGTAAGAAAAATTATTCTCATGTTAAAATTGAAAATAACTCAAGATTAAAAGAGCATGATGGTAGTCATAAAGATACTAAATCTTATAAAAATAAACATAGATTAAGTTCAGAAAAAGAGAAGGATTATAAGGTTTATAGATATAAAAACTACGAAGATAAATCTAATAAGAGAGATTGTTTTAATAATCGTTACTCTTATGAGCAAAAAAGTAAAGGTGATCAAAGAAGTAGATCCAGAAGCCCAATTTTAAAACATAAAGAGAAAGAAAAAAAAAATGATAAAGATGATAATTATAAATATGACACTAGGTCATCTAGTGATTCAAATGATAGAAAAAATAAAAAAATAAAGTCTAAATATAATCATAATTCTGATTCTAATTCTTCAGTTGAAAAGCATAGTGTAAATAAAAATAACATTACAAAAAGTTATGGACTTATAGTATGTATTCATAAAAATTTATATAAAATAATTTTAAAAAATTAACAACAGTTTGGTAGGTTCTAGGCTCTCCAAAAGAAAAAAGAAAATCGCCCAAAAAATCTCCAGTTCAATCAAGAAAATTGAATAATGAAAAAGCAGACATTACTCGTCCTAAGTCACCAGTTAAAAAGAAAAAACTAACTGAAGAGGAAATGGAACGGCTTAGAAAAGAAATGATGAAAAATGCTGAAGTTAGGGATAAAGAGAGATATAATAATGTTAAACGCTACAAAAAAAAAGATGAAAAAGAAGAAGAAAAACAAAAGCCATATAGCAAAGAATTCTTAATGTAAGTAAAATAATTATTTTATTATCAATAATATAGTATAAATAGGGACGTTGGGGGGTTTAGTCCTCATAGACACATTCATATCTTATAAAAAATAAATAGTAATTTTTGATAAAGGGGAGAAGACAAAAAAAATTGTCAGGTGTAATTATGAGAGCTATATCTCTCATAGTTACCATATCCTTTTCATAATAAAAGTAATTACATGGTGAAACTATAATTTTTATTTTGTTATAGAGTAATAAAAAATTTTTGTATGAATACCTTCTCAGAATGAAATACTAAATACATTACTGAAATATTGTTAGGAAGCTCCCCATCTAGTCAAATATCTAAACTTGAATAAAATATAGAGCTGTAACTCCCCAGAAATGTGTTTCAAATTATTACCATGTATATTATTCTTATAAAATTTATTAATTCATCAATGTTGTATATTCTACTCATAATTTTGGTTTTAAATTTTTTATTTTAGTAAACAATTGTCATATGCTGCATCACAAGTTAGTGTCGAAAGAAGTATCAAGTCTAATGTCAATAAATTACAAAAAGGTCAAAGCATAGCTGAATAGTAGAAATTTTGTACTTAATTATAGTTTAAATTATCTTTAATGATTGCATTATGTAAAAAATGTAATATATTCAATATAGTTTTTATAAATTTAAATATTTTGACTTATTTTATCATATAAAAATTATTTGATTTTTTTTTATAATTCATTTATATATATAAAACATTATTTTCATGAAGTATTAATTAAATAATTACTGTTTAATTTGATACTGTTACAATTATTTAGATGAATAGTATTATTCATTATTGATTCTTTAAAATGTAAACTTTTTTTAGAAATAAAAATATACTGTTTATTTTTTTAGTTTACAGTGTATTTAATGAAGAATCATACACATATGTGTGATATATTTATCTGTATATCATTTGTATATTTTAATAAGAATTTTTAATAATCTTGAAATTGTCTAATAATTTATAGATTTCTTTAATTTTGTTCTGGATTGATGCAAGTCCTTTCTAATCTAGGATTAATGGAAAACGAGCCATACATTAATATAATTTAAAATTAATTAATATAGACTTGTCTATATTTGAATCATAGAGTTACTATAGAAATTTTATATATTCTATGTTATTACTTTAAATTACATTATCTATGTTTTAAGAATTGATAATACATACATACACTGATAAAAGATTATCATCATGAATAGTGGAAGATATTTGATAATTAAAAAAATATATTATCTTAGTTTGAATAGTAGATGGTAATTATAAAAGTTAAAGTTTAACAATTATTTTTATTAATTTGTACTTCTTTTACATTAATTATATATTTCAATTTAAAAAATGTGAAAAAAATTACATTAGCTAGTTTATTTAAAAATTTCTGTTTTTTTAAACATTAATTAGGGAATATTATGGTACTTACATATGTATATATCTTAACTTGAATACAATTTAATGAATTATGGAGGTTAGTTTTTATTATATTTATCATATTTATTTTCAATTCAACATTTTTATTTATGAGAACTAATATTTTTTTAATTAAATTATTAATATTATTCCAACATTAAGTTACAATCTGCAAAACTAATATTAAATATAATTCTTATTTATTAATATTAATAACCTATACTGTTTGGTTGGTTATTTATGTTTTTGAGGAGGCGTTACTAGGCTCACTGAAATACTGGGATTTTCTCTGTTGCCTGTTCTTATTTTTCATCTAATATACCTTCTTTTGATAGTTTAATTTGGCCTTCTATATTCAAATTTTCTTGTGCTGGTTTGAACTTGTCTATCCATACCTCCTTTGGAAGTTGGGGACAAAATGTTTTAGTATCAAACCATTTAATTTTTTGAAATGCCATATTTTGAATGTCAAACTGAGAACAATATTTTGTATATATGGCTAGTTAAATCTATAAAAATTTGCCGTGAAGTAAAAATAATATGTTAACCATAGCTATTGAAAAATATTTTTTCAATAACTAATAAGAAAATAATTACTTAAAATATTTTCTGTAGTGCATGAAAAACTTTTAATTATTACTAAATTTAGATTTGAATTAAATAGCTATCTCAAAAGTCACGACTTGTATAGTTTAAAGGAAAGTGTTAAATCCTGATACCAACTGAGGCACAATGTATTGATTACTAAACCATTTTGGGCTCAATAACTTGGCCTATAATTATTTGTCTTTAGTTTAATATTTTTAAAACAATTATGTTATACAGGAGCTAAGAAGATATTTACATCAAACTTTAAGTAAAGTTGAAGGACTTTTTACAATTATTATATCAGATCATGATGGAGTTGTAATAATTAAAGGTATTTATATTGTTTTAAAACTTTATAGAACTATTAGTCTCACATTTTGTGTTCAAAGTAAATTATAAGGTTATAGGCAAAGGTAAAAGTGTATCAGAACAGGATTTCCTATACATTTTGATTTTGTGTTTCTAAATATTTTTTTAATAAAAAATTTGGTTTCAGTGAAAGAAACAGTACTACAAAAGTGCGAGAAACCTTAATACTGAAGGTTATTACACCAAATTTAAAAAAAAAAATGATACAAAATAATTAAATTTAATTGTTTTACATATAAACTAAGTATACTTATAGCCGTGGTACAATTTTTTGATAGCTCACCCGTTTTGAAAAAATTTTATATTTATAACACCATTGAATAATTTTTATTATTTAAACAAAAAATTTTTATTTTATTTAAAAAATCCTCAGATTAAATATAAAAAAATTTAATTAATTATTTATGATGTATAAAATGCAATTGCTAAAAATTTGTAATTGAAAAAATTCTACTAATGACTAGTATTATTACCCTAATAATAAATATTTGGATCCATTATCATGTTCTACTCTTGTTTTAATTAGAGAAGATTTGTAATGTTCTCAATAAAAATTTGCTATTAAAGTATCAACTAATCAAAACATTCCGTGCATTTCTTAATTTATTTTTGTGTTATCAAAATGAACACCATCCAAAATATTTTTTTATTATTATATTATTTTATAGCTTTTGCTGATAAAAATTTGGAAACCAACTTCAATTTCAAGCCATCTTTTCTTTCTGATTTTAATTCTGCTTCAGAACAAGCTGGAAAACTTGAACTTGGAAAAAATAAAACAGTAATATGTTTTTACACAAATTATCAAGTAAGTTGATTAGATATACAATGTCTCTTGTCTAACTGACAACAATTATAACTTTTGATATTATTATTTAATTAAATTTTTTTAATAATTGTCTCCTTAAACTAATATTGAAGCATATTTTTAATTATTTATCACTAATAAGAAAAAATTAAATTTTTTATTATTTTTCAAAATTTTAAAATAATAATTTTTTTAACCCTTTTCTTACAAAATGTTTTGATGGTTTGATGACAATTTTAGGATAACTACTTATTGAGTTACAAACATTTTAATACATAGAATGGATATGTAGTAAGGGTACATATGTATCAATTCATACTAGTGTATGCATACTTTGCCTCTGTTCTGTATCCATTTTATGAATTAAAAAAATGTTTGTAACTCAATAAGTAGTTATCCAAAAATTGTTATAAACACATTAAAAAATTTTGTAGGAAATGGATTAAAAAAATATACTGTTTCATTTTTAATTTTATTTTTTATTAGTGATAAATAATAAAAAATTTGCTTTTTGTACAGAGTGGCCCAGCACTCACTGACATCTTAAAAAACTTTTGATCCAGTTAATATTTTTTGCTGATTTTTTTTTAAATAATAGTTATAAGTTAGGTATATAATTATATCTCAATAATTCATTTTTTTGCATTTTATTAAAAATAAATTTTGTAGAGTAAATTTTAAGAAAAATGTTTGTAAAAAAATATCTTATTAATAATCAGTAGTAAATATTCTGTAACATTTTAAAGTTTGCGAAAATTTAAATTTTTATGTATTATATTACAGTATTAAAAACTGAAAAACGTGTTGAGAAATGGACAGAAGTAAGCACTATCTTTCATGATTACTATAATTTGGAGGTGTGTAACTTTTTCCATGAAAATTACTTACGCTTTTGAATGAGAGTGATTAGTAATAATAATAATACAATTACTACCACAAAATAAATAAATTGATTTTATAACAAACAAACACAGATATAGATAATATTATCTGTGCAGACAAATAATTATTTTTCAAATATATCATAAACTACTTATTAAGTAATAGGTATTGATCGTATTTTGAATTGAATTAAAGCCAAGTATTTGAATGTTTATTATTTTCATGGAAAAATTCATAACCATAACTTATATAGTGTGAAAAGATTGTACATACTCTGTCCTTTTTTATAAAATATAGCCAGCGTTTGATACTGTTGAATAAATACAGAAAAATTAAAATTTTTACAAAATTAAAAATGTTACAGAAAATTAATTACTTATATCTTATATATTATATCTTAAAATTTATTCTAAAAAATGGCTATTTTGAATTTTTATTTAATTATAAAAATGATATTTATAACATTATTATTATAGCCCTCAAGTATATTAAATATTAAAAAAAAATTAGCAAAAAATATTAATTGGATCAAGAGTTATTGTCAAAGTTAAGAGTTAAGAGTCAGTGGGTGCTGGGCCACCTGTATAATGTAGAATGCAGTAATTAATAAAAAATAGAAAAAAAAAATCATAATTGTATCAAAAGTTATAAGTGTTAAATTGAGTTTTACAAGGTAAAATTAATAATGATGAATATTTTTTATTACAGGTAGTTCAAATAAATTGTTCATCAGTTTTGATAACATTTATAGCATCTGAAAAAGCCAACACAGGAAATATATTGGGTCTTGAAAAAGTTTTAGAACCTTTATTAAAAGATCTAAGAGCAATTCAAGCCTAATTTACTGTACCAAAATAAAAATGAGTTATTTAATTAAAAGAATTTCCATTATATGTAATTTAAAAAAAAACCATTTAATGAAATATAAAATATTTAATTTTTAAAGTATTTTTTTAAACTTATTTATTTTATAGTATAATCTGACTTGATCACTTTACAAGTTTAAAAACAGTATACAAGTTAATTACACATAGTGTGACCTCATCTAACTTGATCTAAATAGTATAACAAAAATACATAAATTAAATGATTTTCGCATGGATATCTTAATATGAAATTAAATAACTTTTCTGTTATTAATTAGTGTACTGTATAAAAATGAACAAACCAATTCTTGAAAGTATTTTAATTGGAAATTGAAAAGATTTATGACCAGGGCCGTCCTAAATATGGCACTGGTATAAAATTCCAGGCCCAAAAAAAAATTTATTAAAATCTGAAAATTCAAAAGTAAAAATTTAATTATTAATTCATTTTACATAAAAATTAAATTTCAATCTACTTAATAACAGTGATAATTAAGTTTTTGCAGTATTTTTTTATAAAAGACTTCTCATTAAAAAATAAGTTTTTCTGAAATTCTTTGTGAAATTTAAAATTTTTTTTAAGCCAAATTATTTGATTGAGTGTAATATCATTTTTACTACTATAAAAACGTTCCATTTATTACATTATGTATTTATTTAAATACTTCTTAGTTTTACTCAAGTATGTTATTATTATAGCTTACTTTTAATATTAAACATTTCTTGTTAGTTTAGTATCATATAATATATTATTATTTTTTAGGTCAAAAATATAAAATTAGCGAATTTTAAGAAAAGTTTTAATGTGCATTTATAAATGTACAATAAAATTTTTTTGAGATAAAAATATTTCCAATAAAGTTTTACGAATGTAATATATACTTTTCTGTTATCGTGATTGAAGGTTATCCTATCAGTAACTAGTAATACATAACGCCTTTTTAAAAAAGTTGAACATTTTACATCTATGAACCTATTCAAGCTATTAAATGTCTTTGAAATAACGAGAAAATTTTTCCACAGACATCTTTGGATATTCTTAAGGATCGCAGTGGAACCATTGTTGATAACGTTATTCGAATGAAAAAGTAATAAAAATAGCTGTTTCAATTGATTATTATAGACGCCTACAAGTATACCTAAAATTGCTCAAAAAAAATACTCTAGTTTTTTTTTACAATACGACTATAGAATAAAAAATATATATTTGTTATACATTGGCACGAAAACTAAAAACATTGTTACATTGATTTCTTATCTGATGAAAAATAGAAATAATTTCGATTTGTATATATTTGCAGTTTTTAAATTGTTGATGGCAGATCCCGAAATTAAAAAATTATATTTTGGTTTTGTAAAAAAAAACCGGACCGTAACCAAAATTCAATTGAATAGGTTAAAAAATTTAAATAGTTTTAAGATGATTATGGAAGAAGTTTAATTTCATAATTATAAATGATAATATTTTAATATAAAATAGAATTTCGTTCTATTTATCAACAACATTAATATAGATAGTTGTATAACTAAACTAACAATTTCGATTTATCGGTGGCATAATATAGAAATGTCCCAGTATGCGCAAAATAATAATTTTATTTACTTTAATAGTAGTATAATATAAACTAATTGCAAGAAAAAAAAGGGGTATAGAAATAGATTTACTACAATTATTGTAGTAAATCTTAATGAATAAAAATACTTCGTTGAAACTACGGGTATTAGAATTCAGGGAAGGTATTGAGCCTTAGGTATTGGCACCACCAAAAGTGCGTCACTGATAATACTACATATCGTATCCTACTGGATATTTGAAGACGTTGTACGCATTATCTCGTTCTGGATTGACGCGACACAACGATGAAAATACCAATTGGGGGGGGGGTTATTTTAGCTAACCGACAAAAATAGAGATTGCGTATCAGCTGTAAACTGCAAGGCCAATCAGATAGTACGAAACGTGTGTTCTTTATCAATTTGAATTTACGTCATACGCAAAATTTAAACTGTAAATTAGCTATTTTATTTTATTTTAGCATACACATGTAAAGGACCCGTCGTAGTTAGTTGGTCGTTCATATTTGTTTAATTTAAAATTAAGAAACAATAGTTTTAAATAATTCTTTTAAACTAAAATGTTTATTTTCAATCTTGATTAAACGCATGTTAAAAAATTAATTATTTTTAAGTTACTTCGATAAGAAGAATTTTCTATTATGTATTTTTTAAAGTGGGTAAATCATAGTTACATCTATTAACCAATGATGGATTTTCAACATTTTTCTTAGAAACCAAACATTATATACACTTTGCGAGTAATTAAGTGGTTTATGATCACTTTGTACAATGAAAAAAAAAAATTAATTTAAGTGTATTATAAATTATTTGTATTTGTACAGGTTTCTATCGAATTTTTAGAATATTTGAATAGACGATATTTTTCATTATGTTTATTATTTTTAATTCATTTTATATTAGTACTTATGTTTAAAAAAATTTAAATTGAGTATAACATTGTTATGTTTCAATTACGTTTCATAATGTTTAAAACGATATTCAACGATTTGAAGTTTAAACAGATAATATATATTACAAAATAAAACTACCTTAGAAAAACTATGAAATTTAAAATGCTATCCAGATGCGAACTGGCCACGGGGATAGTTTTTTAGTTTGAGTTACTAGAAGCGTGGGTTGTCGTTTCTATGATCCTTGAGGATCCCTTGCAGTAAGCCACGTTGTTGGATAATTCCCTTTTGGACCTCTGTCTATAGAGCGATGAGGGCTGCTATGATTATTGTAATCCTGCTTGTAAAAAATGGTTTTTGACTTTTTTTGCTCATCATTTCTTTGTATGAAGCGCTACAAATTTTTTGGAGTGAACTGTTTGGGCTACCACAATTATCGTGCCCCTTGGGCGTTGGCCTCCAAGTCCAGCCCTCATGCTATCTTTTAATTCACATAATATTTGTTGAATTTGAGAAGAGTTTATTTTTCGTCGTTCCTAATAATATGTTAATCATACTTATAAGTACACGGTGTCAATATTATTATTACTATACATTCTATTTGGCGTTAAATTACAGTATTTTTTTTTTTTTTAATAGTGTAAGTTATTTTGTTTTTCAGATCAATATGAAATATTGTTGTGTCTTTTTTTACTTAACTTAATTAAAATATAGACACGTATGCGCTAAGATTCAGATCTGGACTTTCGTCGGCTCATAAAAACTCCAAAACGGACCATATCTGGTGAAAAATATACCAAAAAAAAAAAAATATATAAAAAGTACTCTACAGACATGACTCGAAAAATTTATTTGATAAAATATGATAGTTCTACCTTAAATATTAAATTAATAGACATTTTATCTAATAAGCATTAATGAGCGTTTTTTATGAAAAAGGACACAAGTAACTTTTGGCAAGTTTTAAGAAGGCACACAAAACAAAATATTTTACCCATTAAAGTATGTACCTAACCAAATTCAAATAATTAATTTATAACAAAACTGGGACGGTGTGCCCGAGTCGGTAACGCGGCAGTGCTTGACGCGCACTGCCTCGGGTTCGAAACTCTGTCACGGGCGGCTTTATTTGCTGAACGAGAGATCAGTTCGGTTATTGGAGTCGCCATCCCACTCTCCGGCGACGGACTAACCACTTGTACCGGAGTATAAATAGTTAGGAGAATCTCCTCCTAGGGGAAGGTCGCTATGGCCCTTAATGAACTAATAAAAGCAATAAAAAAATAAATAAATAACAAAACTATATGAGAAATTGATAGTGATTTAAGTAGATCGGTCGTAAAATTGCTGATAATTTTAATGAATAACAAATAAATGTTAAAAATTGACACGTGTCATTTCTTAGGAAAACGTCCTGTTGCAACTGGCTCAATAAACACAATCCGACAAGAGGCAGCTAAAAAATATTTTACTGTCCTATTCACGCATACTTGTATTTATCAATATACAACCTTTTAAAAATCTAGTTTCAACAAAGTTAAATTCTGCGAAAATTGGTTTTAATATGTAATAATTACGAAGTTGTTCTTCTGAGGTACAGTTATTATTATTTTTTTTTTTTAGAAAAGACAATTTTATATTTTAATATAAATAATTGTATAAAGAATACATTTTTTATTAGTATATTAACTTTTTTAAAACATTTTATAATGAGACAGTTTTTATTTTTAGAGTGTGTCAAATGGAAAAGTTTTTTTTGTTTTTATTTAATTTCAGCTGTCAGTAGCAGAAAAATTAACAGTTGTTTTTTTCATTGTAAAATAATAGCATGGATACAGTTAAGCTAAAATGTTGAATATTAAAAAACGAGGATCTGTAAAATTTTAATCACTATATTTCGACTTTACTTATGCTTTGGATTATTTTGGGAAATCTTTTTTCGTATATCAAATGGTATCTAAATTAATTAATACGTGTAAACATAAGCTCCTAGAAAAATGTGTTATACTACATAAAAAGCAGTTGTGTATTGCGTATTTTTTTCATAAAATTTAATTTGATATTTTAGAAATATAGTGATTATATATAAATATATATGCAAATGTATATTATTTTATTTTTATATTTTAAATATTTTATTTTAATCACAATCAAACTCGACTATTTATATTGACGACGATTTTAAAGAAAATTGTCATTTTCGCCTTCGTTATCCCACACGTTCAATTAATTTCTCGAAATTAACATTAAATTCTAATTTAGTAGTTCTATAAGGTAAATTTTAAACAAGACAACTTTTAATAATTTTTTACTTGTCTGCGATTATTACCGATAAGTTCAAACGGGGGCGCTTGACTAACTTTTGATCATTATTAAACTTCATAATCCGTTACAAATTACCCCCGCCCACCTATTGTTTTTCTGCAGACACTATTACAAAGTAACTATGAATGAAACATAATATTCATATACTGTTGATACTATCTCTTATATCATATATATAATATTATATTTCATACTAGTATAGCTTATAATCATTGGCGCCAATTTTAGATACAGTCTTAAAAATTATCTTAAATTAATTACATATACATAAACTGAAAAAAAAATACGG